TTTTTTTTTTCATAGTGTATTCAACCACAAGTGGCTTGCTTTATGTATCATATATCATTAAAATCTATAAACTTTCTTCTAGCAATATATATATATATATATATATATATATATATATATATATATATATATATATATATATATATATTTACCTGCAATGACCTTTTTATCTGTGACAGGTGGTCATCTATCTTATTTTCTTCATGTCAGTTGTCATATAAAGACATGGCTACTAAAATAGCCAAGGTATGCTTTGCAGTTTTTTGAATATGCAGACATGGATTTTCTTAGTATTCACAGTATTATCAAAGCTCAAAAATACTTCATATTTACCCAGAATCTCCATAACCCAGAAGTTGTATTTATAAATTAGGTTCTGTAATTTTCTTTATGTACAACATAAAGTTATAGGGCCTACTACACATTGTAACGTTTGTATTGATTTCTCCTATTTTAGTCATAAGACCACTACATGTGTTATAATACGACATGCTGTTTGTAGAGAGCTAATTAAGTTAAACTTGTATGAAAATTTGTATTTGTTTTTCAGCTTTAAATAAGGTACTGCATAGGTTAGTCCAGCATATAGTATTAGACCCTTTTCCTGAAATTTGTAACCTTCTTTAAAAGTCTCCCTCCTTTATTGAAAATTTCAGATGCATCAAGTTTAGAGTCATTTGTATGCACAGTGCTCCCTTTTACAAAGAAAGATATGAAATCTTACTAACAACCTTTTATTGTGAATCATTGAAGATTTTGTTTTCAGTTTTTTATGGCTATTTATGAAATTTTGATTTCAGATTTATCAAATACCAGTACTTGTACAGTAAAACCTGTCTAATTGTCATGCACTGGGAGATAAATTTTCTGTTGAAATAGACGGGATGTCAGCTTGTATAGTGTAAAGAACATAGAGGCATTAAAATAGGAATTTAAATATGGGTCAGAATTCACAGTGAAATGGAATGCACAGGTGTCAGATTAGACAGTCTTCACTGTACATACAAAATACTGGGATGTACATATATATCATATTATCCTGTAATACCTCAACATGGTAGGACTGTAAACTAGATATCTGAAGGTTTGTAAAAACTTCTAGATATCTGAGGGATTGTGATACTGGTTTTGAAATTCCTGTTGACAAAGTTGGGACTGTGGACTCAAGTTGACTTATTCCTGGTATTATATATACCGGTGTTTGAGATATCTGTATTTATTCTGTCTGATGTATCTGAATATCAAGTCATGTATAGGTCACTTTATCTTGTTTTAAATATTTAATGACAGCAGAAAGCAGTTTAATAGGGCAAGTTTTCTTTTCTCTGAATTTTTTTTCCGAGTTGTTTGGTAGAATGGAGGCCATTATATTGTGATAATTCTGGTCTGTATTGCTTATTTGCATGCTTTAACTACACAAAAATTTTCTTAGATCTGTATTTTTCCTTTTTTTTTTAATGTTGAGATTGGTTTTCATTGTTATATTTTGTTTCAGTCAACTTTATTATTGTATTAGATTGTGAATAAATATCTAACACTTTTAGATTATTTGTACAGTTGTGTAATAATTCAACATTTATCTTCAATAAGGAATCTCTGTAGAAAATTTAACCTTATCCGGAGTCAAATTTCAGTTTATATACAGCTCCAACCTACCCAATCTAAAAAAAGACATAATTATGTTGGAAGAAACTTATCTTGTTAACAGTGTTGTGGGCCTGATTTAAAATCTAATTAACACATATAATGGAGATATAGCTTTTGTATTATGTGGGTTTACATAGTTTACTTGTAATATTTATATTTTTCTTTACATTGTATTGATATTTGTATAGTATTAGTCTAGCCATATCAGCAATACTTTAGAGTTGTTCTGTCTTTTGTGAAGAAGAATGTGATACTATCGGCTTATTTAATACCATTATATTGTTTGTAGAATCATAGCACAAATGTTTTTGTGATATTTCTCAGAATGGAACAGAACGCGAGCTATACATGTCCAGACAATGACCGGTCTGCCATTAAACTTTGAAATAGTGCACATGCTGTAAAGCTTATTTTTCCAAATTTTTTTCTGTTTTAAGAAAAATGTTTTTTCTTTATTTTTCTGATTTGTTGGAGTATTATGCATCTGATTTTATATTACCTGCAATTTTTTCCTGGATTTTCTTTAACAAGATAAAACATTTGCAATACATGCATGTATCTCTAAAATGCAAAACTTTTAACCAATTTAAACTGAAATTATACACTATGTTTCATTCTTATTTGTCTTCTATTTTGTTTAATTTACATTATAGTTTACAAGTCAGCAACAGCATGGTTTTCTTACGCTATAGATCTTATATGCCTGTCTATTGATTGCATTTTTCTGTCCATCTGTTGTAAACTTTTTACTGTCTCTGGGTCTTATCTTGCACAATGCAGTGTGAGGCTTAAGATCATCAAACCTTGTTAGTTTATGTATCACAAGGAAAGCTGTGTCACTATCTAATAGTAGGTCACAGTGACCTCATTTTGAAATATGGCTATGCATATAATCAAACTGTTTCTGGATCAGGTCTTGGATAACTGCGAGATCTTGTTAAGTATCTGGGGTCATAATCTTTTTAGGTGATGGACCAGGAAGGGGATTGTTGTAACACAACAGTAGGTCAAATATAATCTCATTTTGAAATTATATTGGGTTAGAACATACCTTACACACTGTGAAGTGTACAGTATATTAGGTAGCATGGAAAGGGTTGTGCACAACAGTATAATTGTTTTGGTAACTGTACCAAAAATACAATGACGTACAGTGATGTTTTCATTTTTTCACAAAAACTGAATCTCAGGTATATAGGTATGGTCTCTCCTGTAAATTTTGTTCACTACATCGGAGGCTCTGATAAAGTAAAATGAGATTCCATGCTGCATGAGGTTGTTATGATTTTTTGCTAGTCTCTTTGACAACAGATAATTCTTAGATCTCTGTTAGATTATATATATCTTATATCTGTCCTCTTAATAAATCTAGATGGAACTGTTTTTGTGTGAGTTTATGTTAAGGTATAATAAAGTGCCATTTGTTATCTGCTATGTGTTTTGTTTTGTTTTTTTGAGAACTTGGAAAAATTATAGAGGTAACCTTGTGTACCTTTTCCAATCTGCCAGATCATTTGAGGATTGCAATATTTCAGTTTACTCTTGTCCAGCATGTAATTTATATTGTGCCAAAAACGAACATAACATTGATGAATAAGTTATAGCAGTACTTATGATGTGTAAAACTGGTTAATGAAAGGTCATTATCAAAGACCACATATGGGACAGTTATGCTTCAAATGTCTGTCCCACATATCCAGGGCTCCAAAACTTCGCAGAGTAGTCATTTGTCATAAACGGTGATTTTCAAGGTAAGATCTCAAATATTCTTGGTGCCAAACACCCACCTTTGTTTGGGCTTAAGGAGTGGGCTGGAAAAATAATGGGCAAAGTGCTGGCTAAATGATAAGCTTGCCAAAATTGTACTGTCCATGTACAAGTGTAGGACTAAGTTGGTCATATATTGGTAATACATTACAACCTTTGAAAATCATCCCATTTACTTGTGGGACCAGATTGGAGCTATGATAATCATATATTTCTCTTTCTGCCTGCTGCCATACCACATTTGATCTTTTCTTCCATGTTGCAATACAGTTAGCATGACACACCAATAAGAAAATAATTCATTATAACAAACCCATTATGTAATAACTTTTAATGACTGGTTATGTAAAAATAAAGTTTTCCTTATTTTTCAACAAATCAAAGGGATTGGAATGCTGTATTGAACAATCATAGAGAGGGAAAAAGGAATTCATTGACAAAGGTACAAAGTCGGCATACACGATAATACTTTTTGTTATCATCTAAAATAACAAAAAGGCCCATGGGCAACAATGCTCACCTGAGTCACTAATTCCTCCAGATAAAGGAACATTCTTCACTACATGGTGATGCCTGTTTAATATCATTACGACTATTAATTGATTCCCAGTACATGTATTTCATAGAAAAAAAGATGATTTTATTAAAATTTTTCCTATACTTTGGACTTCTATCATGGTTACAACCTAGTGCTGGGGGTGATGATCTGATTTGTTCACGTTAATGCTTGAATAACAATATAAGTGATTGTTACCCTGCTACTTTTGATTTTTAAAAATATTTTACCATATACAAATCTAAATATGCCCCCCCCCCTTTTTTACAGAAAAATTATCTCTCCTTGTTAAAGAGCCTGACCTTCATTTGATAATTTACCTATGGATGCTTTATGGCAAGATTTCTTGAAATTGGTTTAGTGCTTCTGAAAAAGAAGTTTAAAATGTTAACTGTTTACAGATAAAACTTGACAGACAGTTGGATAGCCAGATATATGTATGTCAAACACTATTTGATCAGAAAAGCCCACTGGAGCCTTTCAGGTGAGCTAAAAACTGAAATCTACATCAACCTGTCTATAGCGAAGTAACACTGAAGAGACAGTCAAAACATTCAAAGATCTCCCATTTTAGTAGCCAGAGAATATATACAATCTGAGAAAAACTGTAAGCCCTTGAATTGCACTGTACAGTACACATCAAAGAGAGTGAATTTCTTAAGAATGAAAGTTCTTGCTTCAACTTTAAAAAATCTGAAGACAGTATGTACATATGTCTGATCTCTTTGTATAACTCAATCCAATCTATTGCATGATGTGACATAAAATCAAATAGTGTAAATACTTTTATAAATCTAACTAAGCTTTAAAACAAAATAATAGTCAAGTTTACAGAATTAAAAATGTGTAAAAACTATTTCAAAACACTGACAACTACTCTCATTCTTGAACACAAAGGTACATATATCCATGATAATTCCAGATGAAAAATATATATACATATTTACAACATTTATAGATGTATATCACAATTATGCTTAAGAAAAACATTGGCATTTCATGTAACCCCCCCCCCCCCCCCCCCAAAAAAAAAGATAAAACAATGAAGAAATTTAAACACAAATATTTTAACCATGATGAGATTTAGAGAGTTAAATTCTTTGTAGGATTCCTGAAATATCCTATTTTGCTTGATGGCAATCAATAGAAATATCAAAGATAAAATCTCCATTTTGCCATGTCAATTGTGTGACACAGCTTTTTTACAACCATACATTCAAGTATTTATGCTTAGGTGGAAAACAGTTAGTACTACATGTACTTTACAAAAAAGTAACATAATGTGGCTTTATACAATTATAAATGAACAGAATACAGGTATACTACTGGTACTCTAAAAAATATTAATGAAAAAATAATTGCCTGTCATGCATCATTGAAAGCAAGAAATTCAAACATACATGTAAAAATATGGTACATATAAAAAAAATGTTACTGATAAATTGACTTAAAAATTTTATGTTCAACTCTTAACTTCCTGCATGCACAATATGAAGTCTTCCACCATAAACCTGTCTTCCATCTATTATTAGACACTACAAGGTCAATCTACAGAAAATAATCAAGGAAAGACATATTTGAACAATTGATCAACCACACAGATTTATGCATTCATATTTTCTTCTTTGGGAACAATGAGTTGATTGGCTAGGTCAACACCCTGTGCAATGATTTGATTGGATAATTCAGCACTCTGCTGAACTTGAGACAAAAGTCCTGGATATTGACCCCCAGGTACAGACACCAGAGACATTAAATTGCCACTAGTGTCTGTATAACCCTGAAGGAGCCCCACAGCTCCACTGCTTTCCCTCTGTAGGAGCCTCTCGTTCTGTAGGGGGTCATCCGCTGCCCTCTCCACCACCACCATCTCATCTCCAAGACTGATCTGTGTTCTCTCAGGCACCTCTAATATGGACACATCGTCTACCTCCTCCAGTTTTACGGAGACTCTCTCTACAACCCCTGTGTCCTCTGTTGCCTTCATCATGTTTCTCTCCCTTGTTTCAGCTAACTGCTTGATTCTTTTCTTCTGCTCTACCATTTGTTTGTGCCTTATTGTCTGAAAGTGTTTCCCTAATTTGTGAGCATCTATAAAACCAAAGTTGCATGTGTCGCAGTGATGGGGTTTTCTTTCCAGATGGGTCTTTTTGTGAACATTTAGCGTAGCCGGCATTGTGAATGACCTCCCACACACGTCACAGACACAAGGCCTTTCTCCTGTATGAAGACGAACATGTCGCATGTACATGTGCTTCTGTCCCATTAATTTGTTACAATATTCACATTTATAAACCTTGAATTTTATGAATTTGAGTTCTTCCGGCGTAATATGCTTATGGAGCATGTGATTTCTGGATCCTTCCACTGATTTGAATCGAAGAGGGCAGTAGTTACACTTGAAAGGTTTCACTTCTTTATGTCGCTTTATGTGAGTGCCCAGGGTCGCCTTCATCTTGAAGGACATTCCACAAATATCACACTGAAAGGGGCGATGAGACACATGGGAAATCATGTGAACCTTCAGTTTCCCTTTATTTTTGAAGCCTTTTCCACACTCCTTACAGATCTAAAAACAAGATCAATTTAAGAATAAGACAGTTATACTTAAAAGGAGCATAGTAACTAAAATATGGAAATGATGTGCATTGTATTGGATGGGATTTGGATTACACGACTGTACTAATAGAGAGTGCAGTGAGTAAAGTGAGCTCAATGACTAAAGTGTAAGAACAGAGGAATATTGAACTGGAATCTGTACATTCGTCATACAAATTTTTGTAAGAAACCTTGCCAAAACCTTGCTTTTAACTCTAATAATACAGCATTGGGATCAGTTCAGGGTGACATATGCTACTGCTTACAACAGCAAGCTTTAGATTAGGATGGGATTTAGATTACAGGTTCATTTACTGATAGCTGGGAGTGATTTTGTGTTATATTGGGATGGGCATGGATTACAGGTTCTAGCATATGTTAGATGGGGATAAGATTTGGATTAGAGGTTCTAGCATATGTTAGATAGGGATTAGATTTGGATTAGAGGTTCTAGCATATGTTAGATAGGGATTAGATTTGGATTACAGGTTCTAGCATATGTTAGATAGGGATAAAATTTGGATTACAGGTTCTAGCATATCTTAGATAGGGATTAGATTTGGATAGCAGGTTCTAGCAAATGTTAGATAGGGATGAGATTTGGATTACAGGTTTTAGCATAGGTTAGATAGGGATAAAATTTGGATTACAGGTTCTAGCATCTATGTTATATAGGGATAAGATTTGGATTATAGGTTCTAGCGTAGGTTCAGACAGATGAACAAATCTGAATCTACACTACATGAGGATGCTTCCATATAAATTTGACTAATCATGACCTTGTATTCTTGAGAAGAAGAATTTTAAAGATTTTTTCAATGTATTCCTATTTAAAACTTTGATCACACAAAGTGGCCCCGCCCTAACCCTGAGGTTTATGATTTGAACAAACGTTAATCTACACTACCCCAGAAAGCTTTCATATAAGTTTCATCTTTTCTGACCTAGTGGTTCTTGAAAAGAAGATTTTTAAATTACCCCACGTAATTTTCAAATATTTCTTAATTATCTCCCCAAGAGGGTAGGGCTGTTCATTTGAAAAAACTTGAATCCTCTTTACCTACAGACACTTTGTGCCAGGGTTAGTTGAAATTTACCCAGTGATTCTGGGGAAGATGAAAATGTGAAAAGTTTATGACAATGACAGACAATGGAAAAATTTCGATCAGAAACCTTCAGCTCAGGTGAGCTAAAAATATCAATATTGTAAATAATACATATTTATTTGGGACCTTATTATCATGATTTGAATTAATCAGGGTCATCAGAGTTACCCTGACACCACCGAAAAGTTTGTTTGTTGTTTAACGTCCCTCTCGAGAATTTTTCACTCATATGGAGCCGCCACCACTTGCCGGTGGAGTGCTGCAAATTTAAACCTATACTCGGCATTTAGGGCCATTGAGCAAAGAGGGATCTTTTTCATGCCAACACCTACTGTGACACGGGACCTAGGTTTATACAGTCTCATCTGAAGGACTGGTCTCCACACCACCGAAAAGTGAACAAACTGATTAGCCTGATTTCCTGCCCCTGTTTTTCTTTTTCTGTAGAGAACCAGGCTACGACAATACTGACCATCATAAAACTTTACACATTTGGCATGCTGTTTAACAAAAGACCAAAATTTTTAAAATCATTACAATCAGCTTTTGTTTGAACAGGCTGACAACAGGTGGCTATTTCTCTATGAGCCATGAGCCCAGCTAAAAACAGTGCAAGTAATATGTCTAATCAGTGCATTATACTTACATATGGGAATGTCTGTGTGTGTGTGATCATATGATCTATAAGATCTTGCCTTCGGATGAAAACGTCTTTACAAATGTCACACTGGTGAAGTTTTTTACCTGCAAACAGGAGATGTTACCAAAAAAATGAGATGTCACTAAAATTTGATGATTTACAGAATGCAGGTGACACAAAAATTTATCAGCGTAGTAACCAGATCAGGTTCTGTAGGCAAATCTCTGTAGTTAGAGCAGATAACAACCAATTTCTTTTGGCAGTTACTAGTAATCTACATTATTATTCAAGAACTCAATGACCCTACAATCATATCCCCACCAAGCTTTTCATTAAATAATGGTAGGCTAGCACATGGATTTAATTTGAATTTACAAACCTCTCACGTGAAAACGCATGTGTTTTTCTAGATCCTCTGGAGTATTCCAAGTCTTGGCACAGATCTTACAGGTGTTTGGGATGGACAAATCATGTGTTTTTTTGTGTGCGTGGAATTCATCTCGATTGGAGAAACCTTTCCCACAGAACCCACAGACTGACCTTTGATTCCTGTGTACCTCTTTATAATGGACATACAGGTATCGAGCCTGCTCAAACCATTTACCTGAAAAATTAAACAACTTAAATTATATTCTTGAACATCAGTATCTCAAATACCATAGATATGTCAAAGTGTGTTGGAAAGCCCAAACTTTTTAAATGATCTTTTCTATGATCTCATTAGATATTTATTTCGTCAGATCCAAAATACTTGTACTGTAATTTGAGCTCACAGATTATATCCCGCTGCAATATTTTTAAAATTGCTGCATCTAGTGTTTCTATTGGATAGCGAAGGGACAGACTGTGATTCTACACTTTTTCTGCAAGTGACCTTCAACTTGCCCAATGATCTTTGGTAAAGGTCTTAAGATAACCTCAGTCCATAAAGAGAATGAGCTTCCACTGTTTTTACTTTACAACATATGGCTAGGACAAGTCCAGTTTTGACAGGAATTATTTTTCTTACTGACCTTGAACTTGCCAAAATGACCTTGGTTGATTGTTATACTTTCAGGTACTAAATAAATAAATTTATGGATCAGAAATTGCACTTTGTCAGTGACCTTGAACTTGCCTAAATGACTCTGAATGACATACCCAAGTTCCAATGTTTCTCTATCACAAAGTTATGGCCTTGTGACTATTCCATGCACAAATAAGCAGGCAAAGTAATTCCTATACTGTAAACATATTACATTTAGCTGTGTGTTCTTTTTAGCTGTGTATTTCTTTTTATTTCCTTTCGTGGAAAGCAACTTCTGCTTATTTAAGTACAATGCTTAATGTCTTGCACATGTAGATATAGGTAGGAATATAAGTACAAGCACTAAATCAAATCTTCACTAACTTGTTCAAAACTCAATTTCTGCCCAATATCGTACACACTAAATATAATACATTTACAGTATGACACCCTCATTTCTGGGATAAAATTATAAAAATTCTCAATAGTTCTATAATTAATTCTGTCATTGTCACTATTTGAGTTTTAGGACACCTACCACACTCTTCACAGGAGAAGCGAGACACATCTTGACTCAGATGAGGGTGGAACTGGTTGATGTGCTCCAGCAGCTGTTCCTCTGTGTCAAAGAATTTCCCACACTCTTTACAAATATCCTGAGTACAGCCATGGACGTCTTGGTTATGTCGGTACATAGCCCACACAGTCATAAAGCGGCGGTCACAGTTTGGGCAACCTACCTTACCCAATTTGGTATGATGGCGGTTAGCTTTGTGGTTGTTAAGCTTTGTTTTTGTGGTACACTGAACACCACAGATATCACATCTAGAGAAAACAGCATCATATTTGGATTAATATTTGATAAATGTGTTTTACAAATGATAAAACCTCCTTTCTTATCAATAGTGTTACAAGTATACAAGTACATGATGGGTAAAGAAAATGTTTGACAATACATATACTGATTTTTGTCTGCAGATCACTCCACTATTCAAGATGGCACACAATTCTGCATCTGTACTGACAAGAGGCCCATGGGCCTCAAAACTCACATGAGTTACTTTGGCCCTGCAGTTCTTCAGAAAATTTTTAAAAGATTTTTAAATTCCCTTGAAAAGATGTGACCCCATATTATGGCTCCACCCTAACCCAAAAGAGTCTCTGAATTCACAAACCATGGGGATGCTTCAGTATCAGTATGACTAACATGACCTAGCAGTTATGGAGAAGAAAATTCTTTTCTTGTATACATGCATTAGGTAAAATTTTATCCTGATTTTAGTCAATTCTAACTCATGGGTCCATAATATAAACAAGATGTGTTTGTGAAACACTGATGCCCCCGTATGGCAACTTATACCGGTAGCAAAGGTTAAACTTTCTCAAATGCAAATCAAATACATTGGTACCCAAAGTAAGGTCTTGTCTTGAGGAATAAACCTGTGAAACATAAAAGCCCTAGCAGCAACCATTGAACAGATATGGAAAAGGATAAAGTTTTTCAAAAGTATGTCAAACATCAAGGTCAGGGTCAAATGGTCAAAATTAATGGTGCCCAAGGAAAGGCCTTCTCCCAAGAAGTACACAGGTGAATATGAAAGCCGAAGCACCAATCATTCAAAAGTTATGACCAAGGTTAATGTTTTCCAAAAGTAGGTCAAACTCAAAGGGCAAGGTCAAAGGGTCAGAGTTGTTGGCATCCAAAGAAAGGTCTTGTCACAAGGATTACAAATGTGAAGTATGAAAGCCCTAGCACCAATTGTTCAAAAGTTATGACCAAGGTTGAAGTTTTCAAAAAGTAGGTCAAACTCCAAGGTCAAGGATAAAGGGTCAAAGTTGATAGTATCAAAAGAAGGTCTTGTCACAAGAATTACACATGTGAAATATGAAAGCCCTCGCACCAATTGTTCAAAAGTTATGGCCAAGGTCAAAGTTTTCCAAAAGTAGGTCAAACTCCAAGGTCAAGGTCAAAGTTGTTGGTATCTGAAGGAAGGTCTTGTCACAAGGATTACACATGTGAAGTATGAAAGCCCTAGCACCAATCGTTCAAAAGTTATGGCCAAGGTTAAAGTTTTTCAAAGGTAGGTCAAACTCCTAGGTCAAGGTCAAAATTGTTGGATCCAAAGGAAGGTCTTGTCACAAGGATTACACATGTGAAGTATGAAAGCCCTAGCAACAATTGTTCAAATTTATGGCCAAGGTTAAAGTTTGGTAAAATTTTGCCAAAATGGGTCAAACTCCAAGGTCAAAAGGTCAAATATGGTGGTACCCAAAGAAAGGTCTTGTCAAAAGGATTACACATGTGAAGTATGAAACCCATAGCTCCACCCAATCAAAAGTTATGGGCAGGTTAAAGTTTTTGCAGACAAACAGACAGACAGACAGACGGACAGGGCAAAAATTATATACCCCCAAATCTTCGATACAGGGGCATAAAAACAAGATGTGTTTGTGAAACACTGATGCCCCTGTATGGCGACTTATAGCAAAGGTTTAACTTTCTTAAATGCAAATCAAATATGTTGCTACCCAAAGTAATGTCTCGTCTCGAGAAATATACCGGTAATATATGAAAGCCCTAGCAGCAACCATTGAAAAGATATGGAAAAGGTTAAAGTTTTTCAAAAGTAAGTCAAACATCAAGGTCAAATTCAAATGGTCAAAATTAATGGTGCCCAAGGAAATGCCTTCTCACAAGAAATACACATGTGAAATATGAAAGCCATAGCACAAATCGTTCAAAATTTATGGTCAAGGTTAAAGTTTTTCAAAAGTAGGTCAAACTCCAAGGTCAACATCAATGGATTACAATTGTTGATATCCAAAGGAAGGTCTTGTCACAAGGAATGGACGTGTTAAATTTGAAAGCCCTAGCACCAACCATTCAAAAGTTATGGCCAATGTTAAAGTTTTTGCAAAACTCGGTCAAACTCCAATGTCAAAGGGTCAAAGTTGTTGGTATCCAAAGGAAGGTCTTGTCACAAGGATTATATATGTGAAGTAAGAAAGCTTTAGCACCAACCATTCAAAAGTTATGGCCAAGGTCAAAGTTCTCCAAAAGTAGGTCAAATCCAAATGGCAAGGTCAAAGTTGTTGGTATCCAAAGGAAGGTCTTGTCACAAGGATTATATATGTGAAGTAAGAAAGCTTTAGCACCAACCATTCAAAAGTTATGGCCAAGGTAAAAGTTTTCCAAAAGTAGGTCAAATCCAAATGGCAAGGTCAAAGTTGTTGGTATCTGAAGGAAGGTCTTGTCACAAGGATTACTTAAGTGCAGTATAAAAGCCCTACGCAAGTGTGTTAAGGCTAAGTATAGACGTTTCTATGAAAATTAACTAATTAAAACGCATAAAGGCTATAATTATTATACAGAAAAAGGTTAAAACCTAATTTCTAATGCAAACTTGGTTCCTGCAACAAGTGATAACCAGTACACATTATGACGTCATATTATGACGTCACTGCTCTCCACTACACAAAGTTATAAAGAACATCAACAAAAAAGCTTCGGCGCAAGGGCATACCATATTTATTTTTACAGAAACATGGTCTAATTAGAAGCAGAATATTGCAAGGATTTATGTTATTGCTGCACAAATGTCCACAGATCAATTGTTTAGTTACTATTTGTAAATTATTGATTTGAAACGGGGTAAAAATTCACAGTCCAGTGTAAGTTTCCTCAATTTTTTTTATCAAACGCAAAGTGCTAGGATTTGTGCAGCACTTTTATTAATCTTTAGAATATTCTTCGTAGAATTATACATTATTTACTCAAAATTTAAATAGGGTATGCCCTTGCGCCAAAGCCGTTTGTTGATGTGTTTTATTACTTTGAGTACTAATGAACAATGACGTCATAATATGACGTCATAATATACACTAGATATAACATGTCTTGGAAACTAAGTATGTATAAGAAAATGAATTTAAGATTTCTCTGTATAATAAATATACCTCTTCTGCATTTTTATTAGCTCATTTGCATAGAAACTCCTATACCTAGCCTTAAATCACTTGCGTAGCACCAATCGTTCAAAAGTTATGGCCAATGTTAAAGTTTTTGCAAAACTGGGTCAAACTCCAAGGTCAAAGTCAAAGGGTCAAAGTTGTTGGTCTCCAGAGGAAGGTCTTGTCACAAGGATTACATATATGAAGTATGAAAGCCCTAGCACCAACCATTAAGTTATGGCCAAGGTCAAAGTTCTATAAAATTTTGCAAAACTGGGTCAAACTCCAAGATCAAGGTCAAATAGGATGGTACCCAAAGAAAGGTCTTGTCTCAAAGAATATACATGTGAAATATGAAGGCCATATCTTAAACCAGTCAAGAGTTTTAGGCAATGTTAAAGTTTTTGCCGACAAACAGACATACAGATGGAAGGACAGGGCAAAAACTATATACCCCCGAATCTTCGATAAAGGGGCATAAAAATTAAATCCACACAAAATGGAAATGTTTGCAAATTAATGGTTCCATTGTGTTTCTTTAGATTTCAAAAAATCTTATATATTTCCATGTTTGACTTGATCCCCCTGTTGTGGCCCAACACTATCCCCCAGGGCCATGAGTGAAACAGTTTACAATTTAAACTACCTCAGGAAACCTTCACATAAGTTTCATCTTTTCTAGTCTAGTGTTTCTTGAGAAGAAGTTGAAAATGTGAAAGGTTTACAGATGGATGGTCAGACGATGGATGACTGGTGTTCAGAAAAAGTCACTTGAACTTTCAGTTAGGTGAGCTAAAAAAGAGCAAACAGAAAAATTCAAGAGTCTTACATAAGATATGAGTCATCGTCATGCATTTTCATGTGTTTCTCTAGCCCTTCTGCTGTTTTTAGGACTCTCAGACAGATATTACACACATATGTTGATTTCTTTTCTCCCTCTTTTGTTGGTTGCAGAAACAGCATTTCATCAGATTCTGTCTCCTCGACCTTTTCACCACAGGTTTCCAGATGTTTGTGGTAACTTGGTGCTGCATTAAATGTGGAGTTGCATCTCTTGCAGATGAAGCAGTCTAACTGCTTGTGGACTTTCCTGTAATGGGCAGCCAAATCTTCATTAGCAAGGAAACATTTTTCACACAAAATACACTGGTGAACCATCATGTTCTGCAGTAATTTCTCATGTTTATCTACCATGTGCTGCACATACGTCATTGACCACTTAAATGTGTTCAGACATAACTTGCAGTTATAGTCTCCTCGTCTGTTTCTGTTGTAGGTGTGACGCTGGTCATCAAAGAATTCCTCCAAATTGCTCTCGTCATAATATTTAAATTTTGTCCGATCTTCTTCTACATCTTCTGCTGGTTTTGATTCTTCATCTGTATTTTCATCATCATCATCATCGTCATTGTCATCTAACTCTGCATTATTTTCATTTTCTTCCTCCTCTTCATTACTCTCAGCCTTGTAATCTTCATCATTATCATCATCAATAAACTCTTCTTCTTCCTTCTTCATCTCTGCCTTGCCCCTTGTCCTGACCTCTTTGAAATCTTCAACATAATCATCTCCAAATCTCTTTTTCTTTGTTCGCTGTCTGAAGCTGTAAGGTTTTGGAGTTGAATCGGTCTTTTCTTGTGGAATTGGATTAGAATTAGAATTTTCTTTAATTTCTTGAACACTGTTTTTATTTGGCCTAACAGGTTTCTTTTTGGTTCTTTTCACCTAAAAATGTAATATGCAAACAAGAAATTAACAAGTTTGAAAAACATATATGCCTCACCAAATGTGGCAATATTTGAAAGAATCAACTTTAAATTTATAATGTCAGTATAGTGAAAAACATAGGTAATCAGAGATTACAGAGCTAACCTCAACGAATGTCGTCTTTAAGTAAGGTAAAGTCCCACACTAAACTAATCATCTAGTAGTATGCATGCCTAGATGTAACATTTATGCAATTTTGGTCTGATAGGGCTTGCAATTACTTGGGACTTAACTTATTGTGGCCCTAACCCACTCCTGGGGGTCATGATTTGAAGAATTTAGAATCTACACTACCCAAGGATGCTTTTACATAAGTTTCAGCTTTTCTGGCACAGTGGTTCTTGAGAAGAAGATTTTTAAAGATTTTTCCTATATATTTCAATGTAAAACTTTGTTTTCCAATTGTGGCCCCACCCAAACCCCGTGGGCCATGATTTGAACAATTCACAATCTACCCTACCGAGGATGCTTTCCCATAGGTTTCAGCTTTTCTGACCCAGTGGTTCTTGAGAAGATTTTTCCTATATATTTCAATGTAAAAACTTTGATTCCCTGTTGTTGCCCTATCCCACCCCCTGGAGCCATGATTTGAACAATTTAGAATCTACACTACCCAAGGATGCTTTCATATAAGTTTCAGCTTTCCTGGCCCAGTGGTTATTGAGAAGATTTTTTAAATATTTTTTCCTGTATATTTCAATGTAAAACTTTGATTCCCTATTGTGGCCCCACCCTACCCCAGGGGGCCATGATTTGAACAATGTAGAATCTACACTACCCCAGGATGCTTTCACATAAGTTTCAGCTTTTCTGGCCCAGTGGTTTTTGAGAAGAAGATTCTTTAATTACTCCACTATACTTTTGTCTTTTCTTAATTATCTCCCCTTGTAAGGGGACTTGGCCCTTCATTTAATTAAATAATTCAAATTCCCCTTTACCCCAGAATGCTTTGTACCAACTTTGTTTAAAACAGGCCCGGTGGTTCTTGAGAAGTTGAAAATGTGAAAAGTTTACAGAGCAGTTTGACCTTGTGACCTCAAAATCAATAATGGTTATCTATTTTTGTAGGGGGGGATTAAAAGTGTACCAAGTTTGATGTCTCTCAAGCTTAGGGTTCTCAAGACAAAATACACTTGATCTACCAACCAACAAAATGAATAAATAATTAACCTTTGGTTTAAGCAAGTATGTCCTTTTTTTAAAAGGGGAAAAATAAAAAGATATTGTTAAGTTTGTACATTGTATAGTATCTTAGATTAACCTGATATGTTTAATTAATCAACTTAACACGAGATTTTGAATAAAAATGCATTTTCTTAATCATTGTTTTAATTCTGTTACACAATTGAACTGAATTCAATTTGCTATATATAAAATCCTACCATTTTTTTCACTTTCCTAGTTGTGTAGCTGAAGAACAGAGAGTGGATATCTGTAGGGGCCTCACTTAGTTTGATGGACTTGGAGAACAATTCAAAAGGTGGATCCACAGTCGCTTTCTCAATAGGGGGAGTGGTCTTGGGTTCCTTTTTAATCAGAGACAAATCATACTCCTGAGGAGTGAGTTCAGGGGTCATGTCAAATTTGTTTGCCAGTAAGGAGGAGTTCTCTGACAAGGAATTCTTCATAGCCTCCTTTAGGACTTCTCCATAACTGGGGGATTTTTCCTTGGTGGTCCCAAATTTTTGTATGATGGAGATCATTCTGGGTTGTTGTGTCGATGTAGAAGCCTCTGATGCTTTGTCTATTATTACCGGGTTTACACCAGTGCCAGATTTACTCTCCAGTGATTGCCTTAATGTCATAAGTGTGGACTTCGTTGCTCCTGAATTCAACTTTTTGATGTTCATTCTGAATGGCATATCTACAACTGGAAGAGGGGGTTGCTTCTGTTGAGGTTCATCTTCAGGACCATCTTTTTGATATTTTTTTCTCTTTCGACCAGACTCTACAGATTGTGGAACTATACTCTTTATATTTGTCACAGTGGAGGTATTCAAAATTTTTGCAATTTCTGGCATTGTTTGAGCAGCTGGTGGAAGAACAAGAAGTTGTGTTCCAGGTGGAGGCTGTGCTATAGGATGAAGCAAGTTTCCTGTCATAGGTACAGTTCCCCTTACATTTCCTGCCACTGGTATAAGTGCTGGGGCTATTGCTTGTTGTATAGGTTGTTGTATGGATTGTTGTATGGGTTGTTGTGTGGGTTGAGTGGGTTGTTGTATGGGTTGTGTGGGTTGTTGTATGGGTTGTTTTGCGGGTTGTTGTGTGGGTGTAGCTTTTTGTTGAAGGATGTTCGGTCGTTTGACAACTGGTTTTGGTTTCAGCTTTTTCTGCGTTGACTGAATTGCTGTTTCATTTGATTTGTTCTTGGATTCTTTCTCAGTGTTGTATACAACTGCAGCAAAAAGAAAAAAAAATTATTCAGTGTGTTCTGATTTTTTTTTTTTTCTATTCCCATTCATATTTTAAGTGGAGGTAGTAAGCTACTTGATTTCTGAGCTGTAATTTTGTAATCTCTGTATACATATGTACTGGTACTAACAATATTCAGTTTAATCATTCAATCTTAAAATTGTGATATTCATTTATGCGTATACAGAGATATAGCTGAACGACCTTCTAAATAAATTATGAAAATCAAATCTTCTTATTCACAAATGTCTGCATAACAGTTGCTCCCTGTACTGAGATGAAGAAAGATCATTGGTAAATCCAATGCACTAGCATGACTGGCATATACTGGTACATTACAATTCTTTGTGTGTGTTTGTTTTTTTTGGGGGGGGGGGGGGATTTAATGTCACTGAATTGTTATGGAAACCCGTCTATAACTGACTGGAAACAAGGTGCCCATGGACCTTAATGCTCACCTGAGTCATTTAAGCCCTACTGTTCCTTAGCAGCAGATTTTTTTTTCCCAGGTAAAACTCTGATCACCTACTGTTGCTCTAGCCTACACATGGGGGTCATGATTTGAATAAATTTGAATCTAAACTACCTGAGGATGCTTCCACATCAATACGACTTATCATGCCTTTGAAGTTCTTGACAGGAAATTTTTCTTATGCATAACTCTGATCACCTGTTGGGGCCCCACCCTACCCCATGGGGGTCATGAATTACTTGGTAAACAAACTATATTTATACTACTTATGGATGCTTCCATATAAATGTGATTAATCATGCCTTTGCTGTTCTTGAAGAGATTTTTTTTCTATCTATTACTATGTAAAACTTTGTTTACCTATTTTGGCTCATGATTCAAGCAAACTTTAATTTACACTATCTAAGGATAATTCCACATCAATATGATTAAACATGCCTATGCTGTTCTTGAGGAGTATATTGTTAAAGATTTTTTCCTTTATATTTCTTAGTATGTAAAACTTTGAACTTTCAATGTGGCACTACCCCATCCCCTGGGGTCATGATTTGAACAAACTTGAAATTTCACTACCTGAAGATGCTTCCATATTAATGTAGTAAAACATGCCTATGCAGTTAATGAGAAGATTTTTAAAGTTTTTTCCCATATATTCCTATGTAAAACTTTGATCACCCATTGTAGCCCCACCCTACCTCCAGCCACCATGATTTGAGCAAACTTAAATCTACACTACATCAGGATGCTTTCACATACATTTCACCTTTTCTGGCCCAGCGGTTCTTAAGATGAAGATTTTTAAAGATTTTTTCTGTATATTCTTATATATTTACATTTCCAATTAAGATTCTTTGCAAACAAGACTTCATTTCCTCATGAACTACCATGGATGAGCAAGAATATTTCCATTGTCATGTCATCATAACTTGACATCTTGACATTCTTTTTCAACATCTTGGAGAGATAATAATCAACAACTATACCATGAACAAAGGGAGCCAGAGTGACTCCGGTGACCAAACATTCAGTTTTCCTATATTAAAACAGAGTTGAATTAAATTTAAATTGAAAAAAAAAGACATTTATAACAAGAGGCCCAAGGTCCTTAACGGTCACCTGAGTATAATACAACAATTTAGAAGTTTTGTTGCTCAAAAGCAAGAGAAGTAGGAAGATCAGGATCAACAAAATAATTAGTCTACTATTCAGTATCAACTCATAACTTAAGTTCTAATCTGTCCCCAACTTAATATTATCACCATGCAGACTATTAACAAACTATTAGTGCTTCTGTACTATTTTTAAACCCATATTAAGACCTCTAGCATTGACCTCTCTTATGGTCTTTGAAGAACTTTTAATAAGATAAGTTATTTTTGTCTCATTTTTATTTATCTATTACTTACAGGTCTGCCTGATTATTAAAACTAAGAAAGTACTTTTTGAATTATACGATAAACATTCTTGCATAATTATCTTATTCTATTAATCTTTCAAATACATTATTTACAGTGATTAATTATCAAAGGTGAAAGGAAAAGGGGAATAACTTCTCTCGGTAGAATACAAATTAATAGAGCCCTGTCCAGGACCAGAATGCTTAGACAAATTGTCCAGATGTTCAAAAATCTGGTAGAAATACGCTTACTTATATCATTTAAACTTTTACTCAGTTTGCTTTCGATATGCCCAGAAGCAGAGAAGAATTTCACAGGTACAATGCATTTTCACTACAGATTCAACAAAGCCTTACCATAACACCAGAACCCAAGACCAAAGGTCAAGAAATTTACAAATTTGGAAGAGTTACCCTCATCATCATAACTATGGACTTCAAAGAATTAACACTTTTCCACCATATTATCAAAAGCCCCCTCCCCCCTTCCTCGTTATGCCAGAACCCCTGACCCTAGGACCACAAGATTTAAAAATTCTGTTCGAAGCTCCCATCTTCATCATAGCTAAGCAATTTATTTATCAGCTCAACACTAAGGAGCAGACAGGATTAGTTAATGATTAATTAATAGAATTAATGCATTTTCACTATATAATCAATAGAGCCCCCCTCCCCCCCCCCCCTCCTCAAGAACCCCAAAAAACTGAGGCCATGTATTTAAAAATTTTGGAAGAGGCACCCTTGCCTATCATAATCATGCACTTAGTTTGTTTAAATAATCTCCAGTAGCAAAGAAGAAGATTTTCATAGAATCAATGCATTTCCACTATATAATCAATAGAGCCCCGCCCTAACACCGGAACCCCTGACCCTGGGGCCATGAAATTCACAATTTTTAAAAAGGCATCCTTATGCATCATAACCATGCACTTAGTTTGTTTAAATAATCTCCAGTAGCAGAGAAGAAGATTTTCAAAGAATCAATGCATTTTCACTATATAATCAATAGAGCCCCACCCTAACACCAGAACCCCTGACCCTGGGGCCATGAAATTCACAATTTTTGAAAAGACATCCTTATGCATCATAACCATGCACTTAGTTTGTTTAAATAATACCCAGGAGCAGAGAAGAAGATTTTCAAAGAATTAATCCATTTTCACTATATAATCAATAGAGCCCTGCCCTAACACCAGAACCCCTGACCCTGGGGCCATGGCTTTCACAATTCTGGAAGGGGCCCACCTCCTCATCATAACTATGTACTTAGTTTATCACCTTAATGCCCAGGAGCAAAGGAGAAGATTTTCAAAGAATTAATGCACTTTCACTATATAGTCGATAGATCCCCGCCCTAACACCAGAACCCGACCCTGGGGCCATGAAATTCACAATGTGGGAAGAGGCTCTCTTGCTCATCATAACTATGTACTTAGTTACTTAATTTAATACCCAGGAGCAGAGAAGATTTTCAAAGAATTAATGCATTTTCACTAGATAGTTGATAGAGCCCCGCCTTAACACCAGAACCCCTGACCCTGGGGCCATGAATTTCACAATTTTGGAAGAGGCACTCTTGCTCATCATAACTATGTACTTAGTTACTTTACTTAATACCCAGGGGCAGAGAAGAAGATTTTCAAAGAATTAATGCTTTTTCACTATATAATCTATAGAGCCCCGCCCTTACACCAGAACCCCTAACCCCAGGGCCATGAATTTCACAATTTTGGAAGAGGCACTCTTGCTCATCATAACTATGTACTTAGTTACCATATTTAATACCCAGGAGCAGAGAAGAAGATTTTCAAAGAAATAATGCACTTTCACTATATGATCTATATAGCCCCACCCTGGGGCCAGAACCCCTGACCCTGGGGCCATGAATTTCACAATTTTGAAAGAGGCACTCTTGCTCATCATAACTATGTACTTAGTTACTTTATTTAATACCCAGGAGCAGAGAAGAAGATTTTCAAAGAATTAATGCACTTTCACTATATGATCTATATAGCCCCACCCTGGGGCCAGAACCCCTGACCCTGGGGCCATGAATTTCACAATTTTGAAAGAGACACTCTTGCTCATCATAACTATGTACTTAGTTACTTTACTTAATACCCAGGAGCAGAGAAGAAGATTTTCAAAGAATTAATGCACTTTCACTATATGATCTATATAGCCCCACCCTGGGGCCAGAACCCCTGACCCTGGGGCCATGAATTTCACAATTTTGAAAGAGGCACTCTTGCTCATCATAACTATGTACTTAGTTACTTTACTTAATACCCAGGAGCAGAGAAGAAGATTTTCAAAGAATTAATGCATTTTCACTATATAATTAATAGAGCCCCGCCCTAACACCAGAACCCCTGACCCTGGGGCCATGAATTTCACAATTTCGGAAGAGGCACTCTTGCTCATCATAACTATGTACTTAGTTACTTTACTTAATACCCAGGGGCAGAGAAGAAGATTTTCAAAGAATTAATGCTTTTTCACTATATAATTAATAGAGCCCCACCCTGGGGCCAGAACCCCTGACCCTGGGGCCATGAATTTCACAATTTTGGAAGAGGCACTCTTGCTCATCATAACTATGTACTTAATTACCTTATTTAATACCCAGGAGCAGAGAAGAAGATTTTCAAAGAAATAATGCACTTTCACTATGTGATCTATATAGCCCCACCCTGGGGCCATGAATTTCACAATTTTGGTAGAGGGCTCAATGCTTATTACAATGATGCCAACAGTTTGACTGCTTGATGTCCAGGAGTAAAGAAGAAGATTTTTAAAGATTGCATTATTTTTGGTGGTTTTAGCCCCACCCCTCAGGCCCCAGGGGGGCAGGGACCATGAAATTCAAAATTTTTGTTCCCCTTCACCCATAGATGCTATATGCCAAATTTGGTTGAAATTGGTTAAGCGGTTTCAGAGAAGAAGCTAAAAATGTTCAAATGTTAACGCACGACGCACGCCGATGGACGAGAACGGATAGCAATAGGTCACCTGAGTGACTCAGGTGACCTAAAAATCTACAATATGGAATAGATCACCTATTCATTCTTAATTGAAAACAACACACTTGTAATTTTAGGGGGTATGGACATTTAAATTCTGTGTGATAACCCACTTCCATTACACCACTTCCAGTATGTTAAGCCCATCATAAAAGAAATGTTACATCCTCTGTGTACAGAGAGGCTGATAAAATTGTGTTAATGATAATTTAAAGGGGCTGGTGCCAAATACAAAATTCTTATTTGGAAGAGGCAATGAACTTTACACATTTCTTTTCAAAATGAAATAATTTACAGAATTTCTTTTCCAAATAAAGACCTTAATTTTGAACATATTTATTTTGGATTTCAATAATGATAAACATTTATAAATTGGGCAAATATTATAAATTCACTTTAAATTAATTGAACATTGTAAGCACAAACTGTATAAAGACAAAAATTGCCTGCAATATTTGTATATGAACACAAAATACAAAGAAAATCAAACAAAACATTTTTCAAGTCTATTTAAGAAATAAAGTCCGCGTTATCGTGAATGTTGCAGGATAACCTCCGAGGTCGAGAAATGTTGTCTGAAATATAAAGGCCGAGGCGTTAGCCGAGGCTTTTATATTTCAGACAACATTTCGAGACCGAGGAGGTTATCCTGCATCATTCACGACAACAAGGACTTTATTTCTATTCTACTAACGGCTCTAAAATACAGTTGATCGTTTTCTCTATAGAGAAACGAATTAGGTCACCATGTCGCAATTTCGCCGTTCCATTTAACACCAGAGGGTCAATCGATTGCATAAAATGCAGACGATTTCAGCTTTTGCTGGATTAAAAATGTCCTTTAATTATTTATAAATTTGCTTGTAAAATATATTGATTAATTTTTATGAATGAAAAATAACAAAACCAGTTGTCTATTTCATTGATTTATCAGTAAAATCACGGGAGTGTAAATGTTATGGGGAGGTCTGTAGAACAGCCCCACTTGGCTATAAAAACGGATATTTATCAGCTGTTTCAGGCAATACACACGTTTAGACTGTGGAAGACGACACATCGATGTGGTCTAAATAAGTATTAGATTATACAGTGAAATATTTATTTCAACTGTACAGATTTGACATGTGTTTCTGATCTGATAATTTTTTGATGACGTTCGTGATTTATTGGAGAATAATGTCCGCGGCATTTCTTTGATCTCGGCAATAATCGTAGTAGAATATACATGCATGTACATGTATTTGAATAATTTCATTTTAAAAATCTCTTAAATGTTCAAGAACAAAATGAAATTGTGAGTGTATATCTATCAAACATTTTTAAACCATACAGAATGATAAATTAACAGGATTTGAGTAGTCTATTCTTTTTCAACATCAATTTGTATTTCTGACAGTGTATGTAAAATCCCAGTGAGTTCTATACTTTGTGTAATAATTTCTGGTTGACTCATAATGGCCTCGTGAGATTTTACTAGCCAGCCAGCATGCACAGGTTTCAAAAGAGAAAGTCTTAAGTCAACCATGGTAGCCATATTGTCATCTGTTTCACCCCCTCTCAAGCGTTCATAAACAATGTCAGAATACCAGGCCTGGAATTCTTTCTCCAGTAAGACAATGTAATGCTGATTGACGAGCCGTTCTAGTGGGTGCAGGTGCTCCTTACAATTAGGTGGAACGTTTATAACATCAATGTTATTGCGGTTTAACAGGTCTTTGAATTCCTCATTGTCCTTCTGTTGGTTAGAGAGATCCCAGATAAGCAATGTTCGCTGTTCTGGCTTTTCCTCTGTCAGTTGAGAGGAGATGTATGGAATGATTACAGTACCAAGAAGGCTGAAATTAAAATCAAAATTTTACCTGAATAATAATTTGTAATACATGTACATGTCCTTTACTTGTGAATAAAATACAGCTAAATCTTTCCTTTAATTTTTTTGTGTTCTTTCTCTTTTACATGTTATTAGGAGAAAATATATAAATAATTAATCTTTTACTCTGGAATCATCTCTTTTTATTCAGTGACATACCCTCTAGCTGTATCAGCATTCGGCAGTAAATCTTGTGACTGACTGACAACCCATCCCTCAGGAAACTGGTACTTGGGTAAGCATGCTTCAGTCTTGCCTTTATAAATGACCTGTGGTTGCATTAAATGACCATCTGCAGAACACGCCAGTCCAATGGTCATCTGACGTTTGTCCTCAATCCCTGGGATGTTCAGTTGTCGAGATCCTTCCTTTTCTAAGCTCCAGTTTCCACCAGGAACCATGGGAATGCTGGTTTCATGAACAAATATCACCAAAGAATTTGGAATGGCAAATTCTTTCACATAATCACTTACATTTGACATAAAGGATGTTTTAAGTTCACTGAAATTAGATGGCAGAGGTTTGGGGAAGGATTTGTTTGTTCTGGCTTTGGAATATCCAAACCGTCTAAGAATGGATTTGGCTAAAGTTTTTGTAATATCAATGGGTCCTCCAAACTCTGCGAGGAGTGACTTCTGCCTATGCATTAATACAGCTTTAGATATGGACATTATTATCCATGAGTTCACAATTCCTCCATCAGCTTCAATCTTTTTCACATGTCTCAAGACTTCTTCATCATATTTCCCTAACACAAGAGGTCGTCCCCTATCCCCTTTAGGGAGTTCTGAAATATCCTTCGAGGGATCACTCTCTAAAGCTTTCAGGTAAGCCTTTTTAAGACTTCTCACAGTACTTTCTCTCACATCAAAAAATCTTGCTGCACAAGCAACACCATTGTCTACTGCATATTTTCCAATTTTAGCCCTCAGATCTGCACTGTACACCTTAAAGCTTCCTCTCTTCTCCCTTTTGTTTTCTTTTGGGGCCATAGTTATTAAATTACTGACAAAGTCTTGGAGAATATCTTGATTCTCATTTTCCTTCACATTCTCTTCATTGTTATCCAGGTTTTCATTGAATACTTCAGCCACTGTTTCCTTTATTTTATTTGTCATACTTTCATCAAGAGTATCATTCAGACTGTCACTTAAAGCAACTGAACTCTGAGAACAAGTTTCTGATTCTGTATCCTTAGCCTTTGGTTCTATTTGTTCAATATCAGTGGTTTCCGGTCCTCCTATTGGTTTGTCTCTTTTAGGCAGCTGTAAAATACATTTTGATGGTTCCATTTCTAGGGCCTTCAGATAGGCTTTTTTCAGGCTTCTCCCCGTGCTTTCCTTAACCCCAAACACTCTACATGCTGATGCCACCCCATTTTCTGCAGCATGTTTCCCTATCTTGGCCCTCAGGTCTGCACTGTAGACTTTATATGTGCCCCTCTTTTTGTTTGCTTTTGGTGCCACTGTCACTAAATTACTGACAAAATCTTGCAGTGAGTCAGGCCCATCATTGTCGGTGGATTTTTCGACACTCTCAGTCCCACTAACATTTGCTGTGTCTGTATAACTTATCTGGTAACTTTCCTCTAGATTTGGCTCCATCCCCTCCTGTACATTGTAGGAATTATCAAAACTATCCTCATAACCCTCGGTGAATACTAACTCTGCATACCTAATTTGTTCTGGAAGAGAATCCAGTGAGTTTTCATCGTTGCCTTTCGGGGCATCTTTCTTGTTTCGTTTCTGTTTTTTCTTTGGCTGATCCAAATCTACATTTTCCTCTAGTTTTCGCTTCAGTGTATATTGTGACGTTGGATGTTCAGGAATTGTGCTTTCAGCCTCATATTGATTTCGCAGAAAATCTAAAAACCAACACCATAATATGATATTGCTTTTGTCTTGGTTTTTTTCTCTTTCTTATTGTGGAATAAAAACAACAAACAAGTTTAGGTTTGTGTTTGGAAAACCATGTTTATTTGAAATCTACAAAATATGTGAAGAAATATAAATAAATTTGTTAGATTTAGTTAAACCTGTGTGTTGTATTTATTTCACCTTTTACACAAAACATATAATTATAAACAAGTAAATGATCATTAAAGAATTAACAACCTGGGCATTTGCAGTAAAGAGCATTAAGAACATTGCTTTTGCATTGAAATGTGAAATCATAAAGCATGTGGCAAAACAGTTTAGCATTTGAAAATAAAGAATAAAGCCCCCCCCCCCCCCCCCAAAAAAAATGAACAAATTAATCAGAACTTTCTTGTCTACAAAATGAAAAATATGGGAAGGGGGGGGGGGGGATTTTGAAGAGAACAATGAACAATCCACTGATTTATGTAAAAAGTACTTTAAAAACCTTTTGATCATCAAAATTCAGAGCGAATGGACTTGTTACTTCATTAAAACTTGATATAATGTTTACAAGTTACATGTATGTGGAAAAGATTTTTTTGTACATCTTTCAAGATCAATTTGGTTCTCTTTTTCAACTTTCATTTTTTCACTGATGTGCAAAGGAGTTTTTAAATTCAATGATTATCTCAAAACTTACGGTATATGTTATACATGTATGTACCAATTACAGTATACAAGTACGATTTTCTTAACATCTCATATTGCCTTATTTTATACCCAACATAATCTATAATACAAAATAATAAAAAAATAAATTTAAAATATCCTTTCATCAGTATGAATTTAATAAAAAAAGAATTACCTTGACAAAACTGGAAGAAATGTTCCATGATATCTGGCCGCTTGTTTAGAAATTGTCTTCCCATGTCTGACCCCACATAGCTACATAATTTCTTCTCCACATTCACTGACAGAAATAATGACTGCTCCCCATCTTGAGACAGTTTAAAGCACTGAAACATGGAAAGGAAAATAATCAAAACATTATATTTTACATCATAATTCTTAATGCAGAATCATTAATGTCATAGCAAAATATTGGCATACAAGTATTTTGAAATTTGACAATACTATTGTAGATAAATGCATCTTTAATCATACGTTTACAGTTAGTTAATAAATTAGCAGACAGCTGGTGATAAAGTAGATAATTGTTCCTGATATATGGCTCAAAATTAACTTAAATATACAATTGTCCATCTGACAAATGCTGACAAATGTTACTTGTTCGAATTCATCTTTCACTTGTCTGATTCTGTACAGATATCAAGAAATTTGTAGAAATTTATTTTCAAGAACAATAATATTGAGCTATAACAATTTCTTCAATCACGAAATATGAAAACATTACTGGTGTAACAAAATATATGAACACTGTCTAAAATCTAGTCTCAATCACCCAGGTCCTTTAACAATATCTGGTGAGATGTGATTGAGTCCTTAAGATTCAATCATTTCATATGTGATGTCTGTTATTGTAAAAAAAATCTCAATATTCCATAATGGTAAAAAAGAAAGTAACTTGTTTGATCAGACAAGTGTGTCTGGATACTGACTTGATCACAAAATGAACAAGATACAAGCAATCAGACAAACATTAATGTTGAGCCCTGTGATACCTGTATAAACAAATTTACAGTATACAAAATTACACATATTAAATATGATCAAAATTTCACTGCATTCCTCAGATCATTTCGCATTATATTATTTAAGCTGTAAAGAATCTGGTGGACTATACATACTGCTTTATCCACTTCCTGTTTGATCGTAGTACCCGTGGATGTTGGCGCTGCCACCTTAACCAGTGCTGCGATTTGTTTTTTGGGGGGTACTTGTGCTGCTGAAAGCAAATTAGGTCCTCCATTGAGAAGTTGTGCCCTATTCATAATAGGCGGAGATGAGATCACTGGCATGCTGAAGGAAGTCTGGGACCCTCCACTAATCTGTGGGGGACACTGAGATACAGTGGGCAGACTGTAGTTCTCGTCTGGTTCTGAAGGATCAGTCTTGATGTTGGTAAAGGTGTCAGCTTCTGTTTGAAGAGCATTGCTGTATTCATACTCCTGGTCTAGTCGCTCTAACTTGACTGTAACCTCACTGAAATTTGCATCTGGAATTATAAAAAGATTACTTTAATAAACTATTTTTTTAGTACTTGCATACCGATTTATAGTCACAATTTCTACAATGCACAGTTGCATACAATGAAGAAAATTTCAATACATGCATCAATCTTCAAAGAGAAATTTTTTTTAAATAAGCACATTCCTACCAAATTCAGAAACTCTAGTTGATTTTTTCAACATCCACAATTTAGGAGAAATCAAACATTATAATGATGATAAGTCTAAACAATCTGTACATATATAACAATCACCTTTGTTTTAATAACTGAATATCAACATATGCTTACCTGTAGAATTCCCAGCCATTCTGAGAACACCAGTGATCCAGTTACAGAGGACCTGTCATTCTAAAATAATAAAAAGACAATGACATTCAAAAATAAAAATATACAGTAAAACACGCTTATAACGAATAGACACTTACAGCAAAGTAATTTTAATTCCCCCTGGCTTTAAAATACATCATATACTAAATGGATATAGTGAATTATGCTTATAACAAAGTGAATCATCTGTCCCTATCACTTCGTTATACATGTGTTTTACTTTTCTCATAGGTTTGAAAAATATTCACAAATAATGTGTTTTATTTTCATAAATAATTTTTTATTAAAAAAATTAAAAAGTCTATCCAGCCTTTCTTTACATATTTTATAAGACATTCGTATTATGCATTTATACTCTCCATTTCCATTACTGGAACTCTTCAAATTAGAGGTGCTTTTGGTCATCTGACTGGGACAATAATGACTTAGGAGAGAAAATAAAACATCCCGATCTCAATCCAATTTTGAATGTTAAATGTATTTGTCATTCCAGTTAAAGAATAGAAGAACTAATAGGCATATGTGAGATTGCGAAAGCCCTGAATTTATAATATCATCCATTGATAAACATTAGGATGTTTCCAAGGCATGTACATTGTATTCAGAGATGAACCATCAACACTAAGTCTTGTCAACAACTTTCTCTGGTGAATAAATTGACATTGTCGTTTCTATTTCTGATGCATGTTAAGTCCACAACAATACAGTGTCTCGATCATTTGCATGTTTGCTAGGCATTTTTTTTCATCAACATTCAACATATTGTTTATATGTTACGATTGTCCCAGAAATTAGGAGTGAAACAGTTCACCGCGGTATCGATTCACTGCGGTATTTTTTCTCGGTTTGATACACGGTGCAAAATCTCTATTTTTAGGTTCGGTTCATTTTGTTCGGTTCGGGATCGTTATTCAGTCGGGTTTGGCATAAGGTAAAATACGTTACTCAGTATAAATAAGTATAGAAAACGTAAATTTTTGATGACTGATAGATTGTAAAATAATTTTTGACAGTCAAATAATTTTAATCAATTTCTTCTAGTCAATTTGCAAATAAATTTCGCAAAATATGTGACTAGATTTAGAAAAAGAAAGCATAAAACAATGTTGAATTTGTTTCTTTCTATCAAAATGTATCATATCGAAAATAACCGAACCGAGACAAAATTATACGATACGTATCGAACCGTGAAGGAGGTGTATCGTTTCACCCCTACCAGAAATCCTGTGAGATTTGTACATTAACTGACTTTTTCACAAAAGAGTGCATTTAGAACTATAACTCTTCCTGGTGGAAATAGAACATATTAACAGCAAATTTTAAACCATAAAGCATCTTATTTGTAAATAAAAATTTTTTTTTTTTAATTTTCTCTGGAAAAATGCAAAAAAAAAAAAAAAAAAATCGTATAAAATAATTAAGAACTAATATCGGTCTTTCAATGTTGAAACCATAGTATGAAAGGGATGCCTTAAGCTCTATTACATGAATTTGTGGTGTGGCATTCCTCCTTAATGTAAGAATAAGGTAAAAAAAAAAAACAACCAAAAAGCAAAGCAAAAGTACAGACACTGCATGACTATTATTATTTGGGTTGAACTAAGAGTTGATGGTATAAATCTAATCTTAAGACCATTATGTCATCATCAACTGACCTACATTTGAATGTGCATGTTCAAAACCGCCGAAAAATAAAAAATAAAAGAACATAGACAAGACAAAGTTTTGTGCAGTATAATCACTCCACGATTTCTTGCAATAAATATAAAGTGTACTTTTATTCAAAGGCGATTTGCTTTTCACAGCATTTCTTAAATAACAATACACCGAGGCTATAATTATATCAAGCGTGTCAAGGACGCGCGGTAGCATTCCTGCAAGTAAATCTACCGAATCAACGAGATCGTGTACTCGCAAACCTATTGAAATTAACAAATATGTTAAAATATTACTGTAGTTTGGTTCTTAAACATGTAATCGTACCACTGATGGCGTTATTTCAGCTCCATAAAAGCATCAATGTAAACTGGACATAAATAACACCTTGCCACATTCCGAGTTGTTTCCGGAAATAGATCGAATACGACTGGGAAGACCTAAACGGAAAAGGAGCAGAAAAAGTGGATTAAATCCGGAACAAATTTTGTGCTCCATTTTTTAAATTTATGAGCCATTTCAGTTTATATGTATTTTGTTTTTACATTGAAAGAAGCTGTATTCATAGATTAAGACTTTTTATTATTATTTTTTTTAATGCATATTGAATAAATCCGGAAAATATATTTGAATTTTACTGTTTCCAGACAAAGGCAACGGGACGTTTCGCCCCATTGATAATTCGCACTAAGACCATTTGCTCCTCAATCATTGAAAAAAAAATGATTGAATTAAAAATAAAAAATTATAACAGACATTAATTGTAACGTATTGAAAATCTGGATCATTTGATCTGTATTTTTTATTCATAATAATGATGTGATATATAATAAAAAAAAATAATAATATATAATGAAAAACTAATGTTCTTTAAGGAAGTCCGATCCTCAGGTTCTGAAAATCTGGAGTTAAGTAATTATAAATATCCAAATAATAGGCCTATAGGGAAAATAATCAAAACAGAAATTTATTTTCAGGAAATTCGAATAAAAGCACTATAGCTATGCAATTTCTATTTGAAAATTGATCAACAAATATATTTTAGGATTAAAAAAACTACAGGTGTCAAGGCATTTAAAAGTTGTTGATTTCCAACAAATTAAATTTTAAATATCTTTGTATGTTTCATTGACGTTTCATTATAAGTATTTCATGAGAGCACATTTCATTGGCGTTGTCACCTAAAGTGAACATAATTTTCCGATGTCATTTTTTTGTAAGAAAACTGACAATATGACATAGATAATGTTTAATATCAGCATTATTCAAAAGACTCCCCTCTATCAGAATGTCGAATGTCAGTTGAACTGAGTATATGATTTTTAATGCCATAATTAGACCCGGGCCCTTTTCTCATACGCTACATGTCATTATACATATACATTAATTAATTCAATTTCTCTTTCTTCAAGGTAAATACTGCACTAAGATTTTTAACCTAAAATTACAATAATTACAAAAATCATGCCCATTTTCTACAATAATTTTCAAAGAAAATGTATGCAGCCCAAAATAATGCTTTCCCTCGTCTGATTTTGTAAGATTTTTTACCACATTTATTTTAAGCATTCTATAGAGTTAAAAAAAATTCTGTTGCAATTAGTTTGATTGTGTTAACAGTATTCATTTTCATTCCTACGTTGATTCGATATCCCTTTGAATTCGAAATAAAAGATATACCACAAAATTTGACACATCTTTTTCATATTTGGATGTTTCACTTTATAAATACATTAATGGTAACCTAACAAAAAAACTTAATGATAAACACGAAGACTTCAACTTTTCTATTGTCAACTTCCCTTATTTATGTACCAATGTACCATTATCACCTGCATATGGAGTTTATGTCTCCCAGTTGATTCGATACCAAAGAGCATGCTCTATGTACGAAAATTTCTAAAACAAGACAAGCTATTGACATATGAGTTGATGAAACAAGAATTTCAATAGTCTCGTTTAAAGTCAACATTTTGCAAATTCTGTGGTCGATACAATGACCTTGTCAACAAAAACATGTAAATCTATCATTAAATCGAATGTTGACTGACATTTATCATACAAATTGTTAGGCCATTTTCACACTGAATTTCTAGAGATTTTTCCATTTTCCTGATCATGACAAGAAGCACACAGCAGGTATGACCTGTCAACAAGGGGTGCCTACTCCTCCATGGCACCTGATCCCATCTCTGATGTTTTTAGAGGTCCGTGTTTGCTCTGCTCCAAATTTGCATTGTTTCAATGGACTTTTGAGCTTGATTACTGTTTGTTATCTTCATATATTTCAATTTAATGATAAATCGACTGGATTAATGTACACATGTAAGGCCTGAGGGAATTTACTAAATGTAAATATTAAAATACAATTAATTTTGAAGATACAATTAACACAAATAGCTTTCTATAACGAATTCATTCAAGCTAATGTAATTTAATAAGTTGTATATTTAAAAAAAATTACAGATATATAACAAAGCTATAATTTTAGTGTTATCCTCTTTCAGCATATATTATATACTCTATAACCCCCCATTGACATATAACTGTTATGTTTTGTACGCTAGAGAGCATATAGTACATTATCAAAATTCAAATGAATTTTTATATATAGAAAAAAGAATCAATTACACATCTTCTCACATTGATTATCTGATTTTGAAATCCATCAGCTTCCAGAGTTTTTGTCTCTTCTTCTCCCCCGTGCAGCTTTAAATTTGTTCCTGACTTATCCTATTCCAGGCCAGTGGTGGATCCAGAGGGGGATTACGGGGGTTGCATCCCCACCCCCACCCCTTTGGATTCGCTATTTAAAAAATGAGGGAGAGAGAGGACTAGAATATTTGTTGTGTTTTTACTGTAGAAAATGTTCAGTGAAAGGCTTTGTACTAATATATGAAGAAAATTCGGTTGTAAAAAAAAAAACCATGCCCCCCCCCCCCAAAGGATTTTCGGGTTCCGACTTCGGAGATTTATTTTCTTTTTTTGTCAAACATTTTAAGCCAATTTAAGTTTTATCACCTGGCTGCCCCCCCCCTTAAGTCCTTGTAGTATTCCTATAAAGTTGTCGTGTAACTATATTTAAACTTACGTTATAACAACTCTCATCATTTCCTCTTCAACCCCCCCCCCCCTTGAAAAATTTCTAGATCCGCGCCTGCAGGTAATCTTGAAACATTAGTGGGTCCATATTGACTCATTGGGTCATGCTAGCAATGAGCCTTCAGGATCCCAATGGATCAGAAATTGTTTAGGAGCAGGATCTGTATAAAAAAAGTAAAAAATGAATACGTACACTCCTGAATATTCTACTTTCTCCCCAAATATAGATACCAATTGAACAAAATCCCCAAGTAATTTTAAGGAAGTATATTAATATATTATTATATGATTGAATAATTCCTGTCTCTCTGATTGACTGAGATCCAACATTGTAGAAAAATACTACGTTATATTCACGTGACCTTCCAAGTGAATATAAGGATTTATTTTTCTCCACATTAGATTAAAACTAGATTGGGAAATTCCAAATTGATACAAATAGTTTTGGAAAGTTATGTCACTTGCACCTGACTTCCATTCATATGAACAAAACATTAAGGCACATAGAATCTTGGGTAAGGGTTGGGTGTGTTGCGGGGGGGGGGGGGGGGCTGCCCCTCTCCCCACCCTTTTTTCAGAAGGTAAATTTTAAATTCAAATTTTACGGATAAAAAGGTTCAATGAAAGCTCCCCCCCCCCCCGTTTATGGACCTTAACATCACACCAAATAAAATTTTGATTTGGGAGAATCATCCTCTTTTTTTTTTTTGGAGGGGGGGGGGGGGGGGGGGCTAGTCAAAGATTTTTTCATGTAAGTTGTCATTTTTTTTTCTTATAATGCCCCCTTTTTTCAATATTGATCCTATATGCTGGCATTTATTTTTTCTACTTTGCACCTAAAAAATTAACATTCCAAATTAATACAACTGTTTCTCTCATTATGTGTAGCTAGTACTTCAGTAAATGTCAACAAGTAAGATGGTTAATGAGGTTGTGTCATTTAATTAATCATTGAATCATATTATAAAACAATTATTGCTGTGGGGTTTTTTTTTGGCCAATACGATGATTTATCCACCCTCGGGCTCGGTGAATATTGTACTCTTCAGGTGTCTAAATCATCGTATTGACCTCAAAACCAGCAATAATTGTATAATATTACCCAAATCTTTAAAAACACAAAATGTGTAAAAAAAAAAAAAAATTGTTAAACAAAATGTGTTGTTTTTTTTCTATAATCACCTGAAACCACGAGTCTCTGATGAGACTGTAGCTCTACTAGTATACATTTAATATCTCATAGTATAGTCTACCTATATGTACCAAGTCTTGCTAAAACTGTACCAAAACTGTAGGAGGAGTAATTAATGGTTTAAAAGAATCTCACAGAAATCTCTATTTTAGTAACCATGGCAACATTATCTACTGAAATCAAAAACCGATATATACCTTATACATGTAGAGAGAGAGAGAGAGAGAATTACTGACCTAAGTATAACCTACTTAAAAAAAATGACTGTGCAAAGTCTTACAGAAATTGAAATGAAACTGTGGAAGGAGAAGCATTTTGAAAGAATTACAAAAAAATATATTAAGTAATTGTGGCAATACCATTTTTCATAATCAAAAACGAATAAAAAGACTTAATTAGATATTTAAGAAAAGTCTACTTGTGTACCAAGTCTTGAAATTGGACCAAAACTGTAGGTGGTGTAGAGTTTCGAAAGAATTTTACAAAAAAAATCTGTATTTTGTATGCATGGTACAGTTATATATTTATCAAACTGATATCTAAAATTGATAAAGAATTGTGTATCTTAGTACAGTCTAGTTATGTACCAAGTCTTACTGAAAACACACCAAAACTGTAGGAGGAGAAACGTCCTGAAAAATTTCACAGAAATTTCCAAGACTATTTTTTTTAATAATCATGGCAACACTGTTGTCAAAATCTAAAACTGATACAAAAATTATGCATTTTAGTAAGTGTATACTACTTGTGTACCAACTCTCATTGAAATACATGAAACATGTACCAAAAACTAATAGAAGATTTAGTACATGCAAGATTTTGGAAGAATTTTACAAATTCCTATTTTCAGTACCAAGGCTTGTCAAAATCAAAAACCAATATACAGAATTATATTTCTTGGTGTAGTCTACTTGCGTTCCAAGTTTGAAATCAGATCAAATCTGTAGGAGGAGTAGCATTCTGAAAAAACTTCAAAGAAATTTCTATTTTAGTAACCATGGCAAAACTGTTTGTCAAAATCAAAAACCAATATATAGAATAATGTAGTTTAGTTCAAAGTATTGGTGTATCAAGTCTTATTAAAACTGGATTAAAACTGCACAAGGAGAGCATTTTGAAAGAATTTTACAAAAAAATCATGGCAACTCCCTCTCTAGAAATCAAAACCCTATACATAGAATTCTGTATCTTGGTGTACTTCTACAAATTTTTATCAAAATTAAACCAGAAACTGTTGGAGCATGGAATGGCAATTTGAAAAATTGTTTATAGACAAACATACATGCAAGTTTCCCTTTTCCTGTCCACCAGAACTGCAAAAATGGGGGGGGGGGGGGTCTTTTAGCACTGGAAGCAAGGACAGATTATTTTCTTGCCAACTGAGGGCAGTTTCATAATTTTCAGTCCAGCATGTAATTCATAATATCCCTGTATACAAAGTTGAGGGGATATACTGAAATCACCCTTTCATCTATCTGCAGATTTGATTTTGTCAGGAGACATGTTCTAGGAAAATAGTGCAAGGATTTACTGAAAATTTGTACACCCTTTAACACATCAAGATTTTCATCTGATATTTTTCTTCATTTTATCATTGTTTTTTTTGTAAACTTCAAAATGGAGAAACATTAGAAGCTTGTTCTTGAGAAAAAGGTTGCTTGTGACTCCAGAGTAAGTGATAACTAATGGTACTTTGGAGGAGGTCAAAGTCAGATATTTCAAATATATGAAATTCTTACTATCATTGAACTGTAAAATTATTGTCAATGATTACATAATTTGTTATGAAATAACTTAAGATCTTACTTGCCCTCAGGGTTGACAATGTTAATGAGATATGTCATGACCCTAAACAAAGGTCATTAGACAATTGACAAGGTCACACATTGTTAAATTCTGAAAATTCAGAAAGTTGTTCATTCTAAACAAAAAAGTTGTTCATGACCGAGGTGTCAAAATCATCAACCAATTAAATTTCCTTAGGCTTTTGGCTATAGCAATATTTACCAAGAATTTTTTTTTGTTTGAAAAGTAAGCTCTCTTGGTCTGTATTTAATCCATGAAAGCATTAGTTCTAAAAAACAGTTCCAGATTATGATGTACTCCCCCCCCCCCCCCCCCCAACTCTGTGATGAGACTGAAGCTCTACTGGTGTATACGTGGTATATCTTACAGAGTACTAAGTCTTACTGAAATTGGACCAAAATTGTAGTGTTTTGAAAGAATTTCAAAGAAATTTCTATTTTTAGTATCTATGGTAACATTTTATGAAATCCAAAAAGAGAAAAAAATCAAATATCAATAGTAGAGTTAAATATTTTTAGTACATTGTACTTGTGTACCATATCTTATTGAAATTGGAAAAACACTGTAGCAGGAGTAGCGTTTTGAAAATAATTCAATGAATTTCTATTGTTAGGAACCATGGCAACACTGTTTGTCGAAATTGAAAACCCATACATAGAATTGTGTATCTTAGTACAGTGTACTAATGTACCAAGTTTTCCTGAATTTGACCAAGACAGACAGACAGATGGACATGCTGATTCCAATATATCTCCCCCAACTTAAACTCATCATTTTTTCATGTAAAAAGAGAAAAAGACAATTCATTTCACACTGAAATATTTAATCAAGATGAGATTTATAGAGTTATATTTTCTTTGCATTTGGCTTGTGAATTTTCTAACTGTATGATTGCAATCAATTAGAAAGAATACAACCATACATGTACAAGTTTGAAGAAAAGCATTTAAAAACATTCCAAACATATAGCTGATTCACAAATTTTTACACATGTAAATATAGATGTAAATCATAATGCAGATAAAACAAGTACACATGAATACTGATAGTCTGGTACACTTAGGGTACTCTACAAAATCAATGAACAACAAAAAATTGCCTTTCATGTATCCTTGAAGCTAAGGAATTCAAACACAGAACTGGATAATTTGCTACTGCAAGCAATAGCATATTGTCAACCCAAACTGACCCCAACCAGCAAGGGTGCATCATGGAAGATGAAAGCAGAGTAAGCAATTCTTACCTGTCCTTACACCAGTCTTTTAAAATTTTGCATAACTTAATTTTTTTTCAGAAATTTACCCATTTTGTTTCCATAGCAACAGCAGCCATTATGGTAATTACAAACCTCAGATATCTGGGGAAACACTTGCACATCAATATTACCAGTATGCAGTTTTAAATGCCTTTAGAAGAGTCAAATTCCAAATAAAATCCCCCCTCCCCCTTTTGTTTCCACTGCAACAGTGACAAATTTTGTTCAAGTCACATTAATCAATTTGACTTGATGCAAGGAATAATCCTTTTAAAAAAGATTGGCCTAATAAATGAGATTAAAATTTTCATATTTCCTTTGTTAAGTTAAAAAAAAAAGCAAAAAGAAAAATGTTACCCCAACTTCATTTGAGCATAACATCAAATGTTACGTATACTGATAAAAAATGTTACCTATCATTATTTTTTTGACAATTAAAGTTTATGATCAACTCATAAGCTATTGCATATATAATGTAAAGTCTTCTACCATCAGGTTTTTTCAATCAGGAGGCTGGACAAAGTTCCTCTAAAATTTATTGTTATACATGTACACCACAGTGTCAATCACCACAGTGTCAATCTACAGAAAAAAATAGATTTAACTAATGTATCAACTACATGTACAGAAATTTTAAGCTTTCATATTTTCTTCTTTGATTTGATTGGATAATTCAACACTCTGCTGAACTTTAGACAAATGCACTGGATAGGGCTCCACAGGTACAAGCTCCATGGAAGACAAATTGCCACTAGTGTCTGACCAATAACCCTGAAGGTGCCCCTCAGTTTCACTGCTTTCCCCCTGCTGGAGCCTCTCGTTCTGTAGGGAGTCATCAGCTGCCCTCACCACTATTACCGTCTCATCATCGAGGATGATCTGTGTTCTCCTAGGCACCTCTAATATGGACACATCCTCCTCCAATTTTACAGAGATGCTGTCTACAACCCCTGTGTCCTCTGTTGCCTTCATCATGTTTCTCTCTCCTGATTCAGCTAAGTGCCTTATGTGGTTCTTCTGCTCAACCTTAAATTTGTGACGCATTGTCTGAAAATGTTTCCAGAATTGGTGGGCATCCATACAAAAAAAGTTGCATATGTCACAGTGATATTTTCTTTCAAGATGCATCTTTTTGTGAGCATTTAGTATGGCTAGCTTTGTGAATGATCTCCCACACACATCACAGAAGACAAAGGGACTCTCTCCTTTATTATGCATCTGAATATGCTGCATGTGTATGTCCTTTGAACACATCAATTTGTTACAATACTCACATTTATAAACCTTGAATTTTATGAGTTTGTCAGATGTTATATGCTTATGGAGCATATGTTTACTGGATTCTTCTTCTGATTTGAATTGGAGAGGGCAGTAGTTACACTTGAAAGGTTTTATTTCTTTATGGTGCTTTATATGAGTACACAAGGTTGCCTCCATTTTGAAGGACATTCCACAAATATCACACTGGAAGGGATGATGAGATACATGGGAAATCATGTGAAGGTTCAGTTTCCATTTCTTTTTGAAGCCCTTTCCACACTCCTTGCAGATCTAAACACAAAAAAAGAAAGAAAGAAAACAGGTTAAGAAGACAAACCTAAAAGGAGTCTTGTATCTTGATAACAGATACTAATATATTGGAATGACTTTGTTTGATTGGGATGGGTTAATTAATAAAATGCTTTCTTTGTTTTTTTTAGTACAGGCATTAACCTTGCAGCTGTTGGAGAATACCCAAGGCATGCTCTATATACAAACAATTCCTAAAAGGAGGCAAGCTAGCGACAAACAAGTTGATGAAACAAGGATATCAACAGTCTCGATTGAAGTCAACATGAACTGAGCTAAATGCAAAGTGCGACGGAAGGACAGGCAGAAGGAGAGAGGGAAGGACAGAAGGACGGAAGACTAACATTACAAATTCTATATACCATGGCCATATTCATGGCGGGGCATAAAAATGTTGATGCATTTGAATTGCTCCCATTAATGTATCAGCATATGAAGTTTGATAAAAATATTTTAAATAGTTTCTTTAAATGACAGAATGTTTTCTTGAGAAAATTTTTTTTTATCTTTTAAAGACACGTGTTACTTCACATTTGGCTGCCTTGTGTGTAAGGGTCTCAATAAGTAAGTAACTTCACATTTATATACCATAAATCAGGAAATTTTTGCTGTAGATAAATTTTTAGCAAATTTGCATGTGCATTGCATTCGCAAAAATATATTTCTTAAAAATAAATCAACAACAAATAAATGAAAACAAATTCTTTTACTATTTTTTAAGAAGATGAACTGGTGTTTGTAAGCAGTGGTCATTTTAAGAAATCTGTTTATACTACAAGCCAATTACCCGTGACAATATGTACGTAAGACTGCCTTCACTACATTCAACATGTCCGATGGTTTGACAGGCAGTATATCTCTTTTAAATTATTTCTCTAAGAAAGAGAGGCCAGTTGTTTTATCTAAGAACAAATGTTTTTATCTGAAGGTTAGTTAAAGCTGACATGGTTTTATATATTTTTTGTACATGCCTGATTTATTAAAATGTTATGAAAACTTTAAATAGTTTAGATGTTTTATCTCTTAAATTCTAATATGTTTATGTGATTATTGAACATTGGCACTGTTTAGTGGCACTGTTTAGTATTGTATGTACATGTGTAATTTATTGTAAGTACATGCGTAACTTATAATCCAATTATTAAATGTTGACATCGTTTAATATTGTATGTACATGCGTAATTTATTGTATGTACTACATCCTTAACTTATAAACTGCTATGAAAATTTTTAGCGCTTTTTAATTTTAGCACCAATGTCAATTCGCAAAATTTTGAAACGTAAAAATTAATCAACAGCTTTTTGAACCAGATTCGCAAAAATAAATCAACGTAAAAATTTCCAGATTTTCAAAAAGAAAAAAAAACACTTCACATTTATATATTTAAATAGAAGGAAAAAATCTTTATATTTTATCACCAAGAAGTTGTGAAATCAATCTAATAATAAAGTTCTTAATATGTGATTTACAATATATTTACTTACATATGGGAATGTTAGTGTATGTGTTGTCACATGATTTAGAAGATCTTGCCTTTGGATGAAAACATCTTTACAAAAGTCACACTGGTGAAGTGTGTTGCCTACAAACAAGAAATACTTCATGATAAAACTATAATATTTAAAAAATTGCGTCATCTCTGGGTATTCCATAGTCACTCTGAGCATACTTTTTTCCGCAAGGTCATAATTCCACAGAATCATAAATTTGGTTTAATCTGTGGATTAAAAATTACTCATATTTATTGTTTACTAAGAAAATGGGTGTAATCTTTATTTTTAGCTCATCTGAGCTGAAAGCTACTTGCCACAAATCATATTCTTTGGAAAAGGGGATTCATATTTGTTTTCCCTCTTTCAAGAGGAAATAACTAAGAAATTATAAAAAATTAGAAACAAACATTTAGAGAACTCTAAGCCAGAAAAGATGAAACTTAGAGTGAAAGCATCTTCAGGTAGTGCAGCATCAGGCTTGTTCAAATCATGTGGCCCCTGGAGAAAGGCTTGGACCACAATATGAGGTGAAATTTTTACATGGAAAAACTGAATATTAATTTTCATCATGGGAACTTTATTTTTGAGACCATCTATCATACTTGCCATAATTTCATTCTCGCTTATATTTGTATTGTCAAGGATTATGTAACCGTATAACGGGAATATTTAACAACCATCTAATTTTGGCATTATTAGCAATGGTCTTGGCAATGTGAAAAATAAACATTGCTTATAATTCAATCATAGGTACTGTCAAAAGAAATTAGAGTTATTCCTTAAATAACTAAATATTAATTATGTTAATACTAAATGGCTAATTTTAAGATAAATTCACTAAAGTTTACCTGTCAATAAATTAATCCATTATACAGTAACAATTAACAAGATTCACAAAAAATTTGTCTCGCTTATAAATACCAAATTATTATCTCACAATAATAAGGTGTCACCAAAATTTTTAAGGTGTCACCAAAAAACAGTATATAGGAAAACACAGGTACTCAAAGATTATAAAGCTTACCTTGACAAACCACCACCTCATCATTACCCTTCTCCATCTCTCCCTTGTGTCTTGTCCTCACCCTTAAACCTTTTTTGAAATCTTCAACATAATCATCTCCAAATCTCTTTTTCTTTGTTCGCTGTCTGAAGCTGTAAGGTTTTGGAGTTGAATCAGTCTTTTCTTGAGGATTTGGATTAGAATCAGAATTTTCTTTTATTGCTTGAAAATTGTTTTTACCAGGCTTAACAGGTTTCTTCTTGGTTCTTTTTACCTGAAAAAATGTAATATACAAACATGAAATTAAAACATATTGTTAAGATTTGAAAAACTCAATAACTTAATCAATTTACTAGTAACATGATTAACAAGAACCAATGCTCACTAATAATACCCCAGCTCTGATGTAAATACACAAGTTCATTTATGGACAGACACAGGGATAAACAGGAAGTTGACATCAGATTCCTACAAAAATAAATTCCGCCATATGACATGCCTAAACAAAGAGTGTGCTAAAATTTCAAGCATCTGCGATGAGTAATTGCTGAGAAAACTGCAACCAAAATTTGTTATGTATTGCACGGACAGACGCATGGATAAACAGGAAGTTGACATCGGATTCGCACAAAAATGATTCCCACCATATGGCATGCCTAAACAAAGAGTGTGCTTAAAAATTTCAAGCATCTGCGATGAGTAATTGCTTAGAAAACTGCAACCAAAATTTGTTATGTATTGTACGGACAGACGCACTGATAAACAGGAAATTGACATCAGATTCGCACAAAAATTAATCCCACCATATGGCATGCGTAAACAATCTGTGTGCTAAAATTTCAATCATCTGTGATGAGTAGTTGCTGAGAAAACTGCGACGAAAATTTGTTACGGACAGACACACGGACACACAGACAGACAGACACACAAGGGTAAAACAGTATAACCCCCTCTCCTCCGGAGTGGGGGTATAAAATTGCATTTTCTTAAACCTAAGTTCATTCTATGTATTAAGTAAATTTGCCTTCAAGTCTTTCAAAATTCTGCTCGTTTCATCAATTACAATGGAACTGATTTCAGTTTGCTTAATAAAAAAAACCCTTACACTTCTTGTCAGTTTCCTGGTTGTGTATGTGGAGGAATTCTCTGACAAGGAAGTCTTCACATCCTTCTTTAGATCTTCTCCATAACTGGGGGATTTTTTCATAGTGGAGCCTGTATTCCCAATTTCATGACTCATTCTTGGTTGTTGTGTTGATGATTTTTTGTCTATAATTATGGGGGTTGAACCAGTGCCAGATTTACTTTCTAGTGTTTGTCCCAATGTCAAAGGCATGGACTTGGTTGCTCCTCTATTTAATATTTTGATGTTCTTTCTAAATGGCTTATCTATACCTGAAGGTGATGGCTGCTTTTCCAGAGGTTCATCTCCAGAACCTTCTTTTTGAGTTATTTTTCTCTTTCGACCAGACTCTACAGATTGTGAAACTATAATACCCTTAATATTTGTTACACTGGAGGTACTCAAAATTTCTGAAACATCTTGCTTTGTTTTGGTAGCTGGGGGGAGATAAGGATGTGTTACAGTTGGAGGCTGTGCTACAGAATGAAGCTGGTTCCCTGTCATAGGTACAGTTCCCCTCCCCTGTGCTGCTACTGGGAAATGTGCTGGGGTCATTGTGTGTTGAGTGCCTGGTGGACCCTTTTGTTGAAGGATATTAGGTTGATTTGTAACTTGCTTTGGTTCTTGTTTTTCTTGTGTTGACTGATCATGCATTGCTGTTTCACTGGTTTTGTATTCTTTCTCAGTGTTGTATATAACTGCAATGACAAAAGGTGATCTACTGTTTATTTAATGTTTTGAATTTTTTTTTTGTATACAAGTAGGTAAGCTGAAAACACAGCAAGTCAAGTGCACAATCTACATCAAAGTACAGCCAAACCTCATTACCTAGCACTCTACTGGATTGAGAAAAAACTTAAAGATTTCACAAGGTTCTAGATATTGAGGTTCAAATACAGTAAGGTAGCGGTAGTAGTGGTTGGGACTTTCAAATCACTTTGACATATCCATGGTATTAGAGATATTGGAGTTTGAGATACCAAAGTTCAACTGTATTTTGGTTGGGATTACAATGATTTTAAGTTTATTGCTTCTAATATTTTAAGTAAAAAAATCTGATGAAGTTTCTTTTAACTCAAAATATTATTTTTGAGCCATGCAATACCTGTGAACTGTATATGAGGCATGAAAGTCCATGTTTCACTGGCTCAAGTTTTTAAAGAGACAATAAAGTGTGACATTTTGCATAAGCTAGAATGATCATATTATTTTAAGCAACTCATCTGAATTCAGATTAAACTAGAAATCTGACCAGTCAGCAAGGGCCCCGCTGAGGGGTAGAAATATAAGGGTGCAGATTAGGGGATGAGAATTTTTTACTTGATCACAAAAATTTAAAAATATATAAAGAATAAGCAATAGCAACTGCTAAATATCCAACAACCTGTAAATAGTATCCTTGTATTTACATAAGGCAGTAAAAAACATCATATCTATAATAACTAAATTAAATGTATATTTAAAGAAGAATGAAGCATACGTTTTCTAAAATGCCAACCTTCAGTGAATGCAAATATCACCCAGGCTTGACCTTAACTTCAAAACAAATATCAGTTGCAGACAAAGGTGTTAATTAATCTTAAAGTGACAGAAAGATAACCTTCTAAAATTTTCTGCAAACCAGCAAGATAATCAATCCCAGGGGATTAATTATACTGCTCTCTCAACCTTTTCTTCTTCTAAGTTTACAATAAGAACTTTTTCAGCAATGATAGAATGAGGTTATTATCTGAATACCTGTTAAAATAAATAGTATTCTTGAATTTACATAAGGCAGAAAAAAGAAGAAAAAAAAAAAAAAAAAAAAATAAAATCATAATAAAAAAGATATCTTTATCTACATGTAAATCTTGTTTTTAGAATTCAATAAAATCATAACTCATTGTGTATTTTACCAAAATAAAGTATGAACATTATTTAAATCCACATTTCAGAGAATGTAAACATCATTCAAAATTGACCTTAACTTTAAAACAAACTTCATTTGCAGACAGAGGTGTTAATTAATCTCAATGTAGCAGATAAAGATTAATGCTTGGATTTTCTTCAAGAGGAAAGTTAATTAATCCCAAGAGACTCATTGCAGCCTTTCATAGTTTACAATAGGAACATTCTCAGCATTTATCTCTCTTTGCCCATTCACTCTTATATAAAGTTAAGGAATCTACCCCACCACCCCAGCTCCAAACCGGATGACATATAGAACCAAACTTAGCATCAAAATATGTCTTACTGCCTCTTCAACCAACATACCAAATTTGAACTTAATTGGTCAACCCTAAAAAAAGTCATTAGAAAAAAACAGAAAATTTGTGGACGGAAGAATGACAGACGGACAGACAGACAGACAGACAGAGTGATTACTATAGGGCACCCGCAAATCCTTGCGGGGCCCTAATGAGAGGTGTTCAAAAGCTTTCTAAAAAAAGACTATCAAATGCTTACGGACTTGATATAAAAATTTAAACCCCAAAAATTTGAAAGAGTAAAATCTTCACTAAGGGGTTGTAGTAGTTCGAAGTGAGAATCAGTGAAATAGAAGCTAAAAATTTGTCATTAAATTTCCATCTCCTCAAATTTCAGTAGAAATGCAGGATTTTGCTACTATATTTGAAAAATTTTCCAGGGGAGAACCCCACAGACACCCCTACAATAGGGAGAGAGCAAGCACCCTTGCACACTCTCACTACTTCACATCTTGGCTGATTACCTTTGGCAGTTGGACTAGGCAAAAATAAGCAGAACCAGTAATTTATAAAAGCTACTAGTCTTTTGGACTAGTATGGTTATAAAGTTAATGTCAAACCCTGATGATATTGTAAAATTGGCATGACATGACATTCTTTAAATTATTTGAACAATGTAAGCTAACTTGCATTATTAGTCCCCTACCGGTGAAACTGGAGGGCTCTATAAGTTTCTTCCTCATCAGTCCGTCTGTCTGTCAGTCTGTCCCAATAGGTTTTCCCCATTATTTTTCTAAACACTTGTAGATATTGAGCTGATTTTTGGTATGATGAGACACAGATCAAGTTTGCATTTCATTCCACTTCAATGATTTTTGACAGAAATATGGCATTTTTTTTTTTTAAATCTTTAAACCTTAAATATCCTTTTGTCAGATATGAATTTAATGCAACAGAATTACCTTGACAAAACTTGAAAAACTGTTCCTTTATATCTGGACGCTTGCTTAGAAACTGTCGGCCCATGTCTGACCCCACATAGCTAGTTAATTTCTTCTCCACATTTACAGACAAAAATAATGACTGCTCCCCATCTTGAGACAGCTTTAAGCACTGAAACATAAAAAAGGAAAGGTAAAAATCTTAAGATGAGTATATAATAAAATTGATACAAAATAAAAGAGGTCCATGGTTCACAATGTTCACTTGAGTATTCTTGGCCCTGTTGTTTTTCTAATTTTTTAATGATTTTTCTCCTCTTTTTTCACATGGAAATTTTGACTCCTTCTAGTGGCCCTAACTACTCAAAAAGGTCATGATTAAATCAACCTTGAATTTACAAAACATGGGGATGCTTCATTATCAATAACAATGAATTAACATGGCCTTGCTGATCTGGTTAAGATTTTTTCCACCTGTTTGCATGTACTAAAATCTGATCCTCTTTTTGGCCCCACCTACGATTCACAATTTTTAAAAAAATTGAATCGACATATTAGAGAATGCTTGTATAGTAATATGATTTAGTGTTGCTCGGCTACACTTGAAAACATTTTTATTATTTCCTAACTTATAGTAGATTATAAAATTTTTGTGACACCTTATTTTTATGAGATTATTGTTTGATTTTTATAAGTGAGAAAATTTTTTCCACAAATTTGTTATTGCTCTAAATAATCTATAAAAGGAGAATTATACATGAGGATGAAATTTTTCATGAGAAGACAGTCTCACAAAGATTTAAAAATAAAGTTTTCTATATAAAAAGTGATTTATTCTCATGTAAAGTTGTGAACTTTAAATCCCTACTCTAGCTCAATCCTAGCCCAATGGATCATAATTTGATGAAATATGAATCTGTACTACACGGAAACACTTGGGATACTTGCATATTAATTAATCAATATGGCTAGCCATGGTCTTGTTGTTTTTGAAAAGATTTCTTTAAAGATTTTTTCCAACATATCAATATGCAAATCTTTAAACCCTACTGTGACTGCATCCTATCCCCCAGGGTCATGTGTGATGTGAATCAGCACTACCTGTCCACAAGGATGCTTACATACTAATATCATTTTAAAAATAATGGCCCTACTCTTGTTGAGAAGAATAATATTTTTTCTGTATATCCCCACTAGCGGTGTAACAATACAGCAATACATCAATCATAATATCACAAGGGCTCACGATACACATATCGCATCATCAGGTATGTATGCTATACAGTACAAGTTAATTCTAATTGTCCTACTTGAAAAATCTATTTTCTACATAACAAATTTTAATGTTCCAAAATGGTGGAAAACTAGGTAGACAAAAAAGAAACAAATATTTAGACTATGAATAATAAATTTTACCTTGGTTAACAATGTTGAAATAATCATGTTATATTTTCTATTACTGTGGAGGTAAGTAACACAAAAATATGTAAATTAAGATATCAGTTTGTTCTATTTCTGACAGCTGTATCATGATATGCGTCTTATCATATAACAGTATCATAATATGTACCATATCATTAGGTACCATGTGATACTCAGACCTAATCCCTATGTTAAAGTTTGATCCTCTATTATGGCCTAACCATATCCCCAGAGTCTTTGATTTTGATTAATTTTGAATTTGTTTTTTTTTTTTTTTGGTCCTGTAGTGATTGAGGAGATTTTAAAAGATTCCATCAAACTATCTTTATTATCTCCCCCTGAAAAATGGTTTGGCCACCTTAAGGAATCTCCTTCACAAAATATTTTCTATGGCAAGTGAGACTAAAATAATAGTGGGTCTACACAAAGTTAAAAATGTGTAAAGTTTATTGATGGATGGACAGAAAAAACAGAAAGACACTGGACAATAGGTGATCAGAAAAGCTTACCTGAGCTCAGGAACTTAAAATACAAATACATGTACTGGTACATGTATATGTACATTGTGATTATTTTCAGTTTTTACGGTCTCATCTGAAGGACCGGTCTCCACGTCCCACAGTGGGATTCGAACCTGTGACATAAGTATCAACTCCTTACTCTGTGACTCAAGAGCAGACACTCTACCACTGCACCACGCTGGCGACAAAAATAAATTTGTAGAAAAATACATTAGCACTGTTTTAATGACCTATGGTTTAATTTCCAATATTGTTTATATGAAAAGTAATACAATACATTACTAATAAGGTGGAAATTTATGTAGATCATTTGGCATTATAATAGTAACCCTACAATGATAATACCGTCATAGTAATAATACTGTAGAGAATCTGGTGGCCTATACTTACTGCTTTATTCACTTCCTGTTTGATCGTAGTACCCATGGATGTTGGTGCTGCCACCTTAACCAGTGATACGACCTGTTTTTTGGAGGGTTCTTTTGCCACTTGAAGCAAATTAGGTCCTCCATTGAGAAGTTGTGCCCTATTTTTGATAGGCGGAGATGAGATCACTGGCCTGCTGATGGAAGTCTGGGACCCTCCACCAATTTGCGGGGGACACTGTGATACAGTGGGCACACTGTAGTTCTCATCTGGCTCTGAAGGATCAGTCTTGATGTTGGTAAAGGTGTCAGCTTCTGTTTGAAGAGCATTGCTGTATTCATACTCCTGGTCTAGTCGCTCTAACTTGACTGAAACCTCACTGAAATTTGCATCTGGAATTATGAAAGGATTAGTTTGATATTAAACAATTTACTCAATGTTTTACAACTTTTCTTAAATGATCACGTCTCATTTTTGTCAATTTTTAATCACCTATTCTACATTATTGATGAAAAGTAAAGAATTCTACATTGGATGGAAAAAAAACAAACAGAAGTCTTTGATGAGACTGTAGCTCTACTGATTTGTACTTAAAACAAAGGTAGAGAAAAGTAGCACTTGGACTTGAAACTATGCAACAGCAATGAATAATGATCCTTGGTTTAGTCTCTTTTTGTGGCAAGATTTATTGCAATCAGACTAAAACTGTAGGAGGAGTAGCATTTTAAGTTCACAGAAATTTCTATTTTTAGTAACCAAGGCAACACCGTTAATCCAAATAAAAAAACGATACATAGAATTATGTATCTTAGTATAGTCTACTAGTGTGCAAAGTTAAACTGAACTGAAAGAGGAGTAGCATTTTGAAAGTATTCCATAAACTGATTTGTTAACAAAGTTCTGTGAATCAATGTGTTAGGGTGAACCCATCTTTGTTAGCCAAGGGCATCTGATCCATAAATCTACTCTACAGCTGTATAAACAATATTTTAATGAGAAATTCACAATGAATATTTAATTGTAAATAACTGCTACATAAGTAATAAAATGTAATAAAGTCTTAAAGAGTTTCATCTAACCTGATATACACCTCTCAACTGTTAATGGAGATGGTGAATACATCAAAGGCCTACTTCTCATTGAACCATCTTCATTAAGTAATACATCTTTGCTTGTCACAAACTCTGTAGGGGTGGTGAAATTCACATTCAAATGCTCACTTTCACTAGTTGACTGAATATTGTCCAAAGTCAGATTTTCACGCAGAGCTTTTATCAACTCGAACTTTTCCTTTCTCAGTTCATCCAACTTGTGTATCAAGTCATAGTCAATTTTATACAATTTCTTCAATATCCTATAACAGTGACTACACACATATCTAGAATGTCCATCACTTTCGTGTGGAATACGACCCAACACTTCGTGTAATTGTTGGAAGACCTCAAATGTGGTAGAAAATATTGTTCTTCTTGATTTTTTGTCGAGAATTTGACAACATGTTCTACAGGTTGTCCTTACCATTATTATCAGTGAGCCATGGCATTTGATTAGTGTAAATTGATGCAACTAAAAAGAATTTTTCTCAAGAAACATTTGACATTTTCTCTGTAAAAATACATGAAAATAAAAGAAACAAGCAGGGTTTGTGAAACACTGATGCCCCCGTATGGCAGCTCAAAACCAATGTTCAAGTTTTCAAATGTAGGTCAAACACCAAGGTTAAGAATTCAAAACTGTTGGTACCCAAAGAAAGGTCTTGTCACAAGGAATACATGAAATATGAAAGCCTATTAAGCACCAACCATTCAAAAAATATGGCTAAGGTTGAAGTTTTTCAATGTAGGTCATACTCAAAGGTCAAGGTCAAAAATATTGGTACCAAACATATACATATTAAATGAAATATAAAAGCCCTAGCACCAACCATTCAAAAGTTACAGGGAAGGTTAACATTTTTAATAATGTAGGTCAAACTCAAAGGTCAAGGACATGAGGTCAAAAATGTTGGTACCCAAAGAATAGTCTGGTCATATGAAATACACTTGAAAAAATATGTTGACAGTGCAACTGTTGGGGCAAGCACAGTTGTGTTTTATTGAATAGTCCACTTATTCACTTTTAACTTAGATCCACCTCTTCAAACCCACGAGACATTTGGAAGGTCTACACTGTGATGTAACATAACATTGTTTGCTAGTTGCATATTTCCTTAACGAAGTCTGAAGTGTGCCTGCCAGTTCTTTAAAAAAAAAGTTTAAAAAAATCTACCATCTATCTGCATTACCCATTAAATCAAGGTTGATTTATTTTTCTGTTTGGTTAATATCAGAAGAATTCATTTGGATGCCTTATGCAATTTTAAGGAACATTTTGGGTACTGAGTTTGCTGTGGAAAAAATTCTATTGATCAAAGTGCAGAGAGTCCGAATCTTCTCTTCACCCTGGAATTTGCTTTAAGGGCTCGCAATGATGATCGGCACTTCACACTGCATGCCACACTTGCTGTAAAAGCCCTAGCACCAACCATTCAAAGGTTACGAGCAAGGTTAAAGGTAAAATTTTGCAAAAGTAGATCAAACTGCAAGGTCAAGAGGTCAAATGTCTTGGTACCCAAAGAAAGGTCCTGTCACAAAGAATACACATTTGAAATATGAAAGCCCTAGAACCAACAGTTTAGTAGTTATGGACATAGTTTAAGTTTTTGCTGACAAACAGAAATACATACCAAAAACTATATATGCCCCTAATGCTTCCATTACGAGCGCACACAACAAATTATTTTTTGCTTAATTTTCTAAATTAAATTGTGGGAAAATTTCGGCTATTGCAAAAGTAAATTATGAACTACTTTTGCATAAAAACACGAACAAATTTAAATCAGGAGAAAATCTTCATCAATTAGTAAAATTCTTGTTATTTCCGAACAATACATCGATCATTACACATATATTATTGAAAACCACATATAGTTGAATCACTGGCAAATGGTCAATTTTTGTCCAATTTCATTATTTATTTCAGTACTTAAACCAGAAAATGTGTAGTTATCTTTTTCTAAAAGATCATTACATATTTTAGTAAAAGATAGATCATCATTTACATCAGTTCTAAAATGCAAGATCAATGTTGACTATATAATTCATTGTGTGCATATGACTTCAATTTTCATGTCCCCCTTAAATTACAATATTTATTGTATATGATATATTACGAAAGCCTAGAAGGGTCAAATAAGGAAAATGAAAAAAAATTTTAAAAGTCATAATAACGACTTTTTATCTCGTAACAACGACTTTTTATCTCGTAATTACGACTTTCTTAAGTCATAATAACGACTTTTTATCTCGTTATAATGACTTTTTATCTTTTTTTCAACTTTATAAATTCATAATAACGACTTTTATCTCGAAATTGCGACTTTTTATCTCGTAATAACAACTTGTTATTATGACTTTCTTAAGTCAAAATAACGAGATAAAAAGTCGTAATTAGGAGATTAAAAAGTCTTTATTATGACTTAAGAAAATCGTAATAAGGAGATAAAAAGTCATAATTACAAAAAGTCGTTATTAGGACGTAAGAAAGTTGTAATCACGAGATAGAAAGTCATAATAACGAGATAAAAAGTCATTATTACAACTTAAGAAAGTCGTAATTACGAGATAAAAAGTCGTTATTACGACTTTTTTTTTTTTCATATTCCTTTTTTGACCCTTCTAGGCTTTCGTAATATATAATATGCTGATCAGATAAAAAATATTGTTTTTATCAGGGACCTATATAGTATATAAGTCCCTGTTTTTATCAAATATAACAATTTCTTGGATTATCGAGAAATTTGTGGTAAAATCTGTCAAGAAATGTTGTCATTCCTGCATATATGGCAAGAAATTGGTACTGTGTTTTTAGGTCATACTTTTGTACCCTAGGGTACATCCCCTATTTATCCTTTAGCAATAAGGTTACAAAAAGGTTACAGTATAAAACCATTGAAAAATGAAAGTAGAAAATTTCTGAAGGACTGTTGAAGTGACCTGGTTACAGTGGGTACAGAAGTTACTTAATAATACAAATTCTACTTTTATTATTATATATATTATCTGGATTCTGAATGTAACCAGGGTAGAGAAGGTACTATGGCTACATGATTTACATTTCTAAAATTTTAAATTATTGACATCAGGGACTTAGTATTTCGGTCCCTGTTGACATATTGTATGACCTTTGGCACGCAGCAACCAAGTTTCCTATTGACCTTAAGCTTTGGAAACAAAGGGTCACAGCCAAACATACATAGCACAGTATAAGAGACCCAAAGGATATATTAAATGCAAATTTTAAAGTGTAAAATTTCAGCTCCTTACCTGACATTTAATTATGATTAATAGTCCAATGTTCTTAAAATAATTATCAATTGACTTCAGCATTGCATGCTACACTGGTCACCTGCTACCTATCACATATCATTTACCTGTGACCCCACTCTGATTGGCAAACACAAACTCACAGTGCCTGATGATGTACACTATACACAAACCCATTTATCAAATAATAATTATAATGTATGTGTACTATTCATTGTGATCAGTGTTGTTTTCATAACAATTAATATTATTGCTGGAGAATTTTTTTAGTAACTGTTCTATGTCAGGTCAGATTATATATAGTTTCATTTATTTTAACTATCTTTGATAAACAAAACTAGCAATATCATAATAGTTAAGTTTGATTTTTGTGTGAAAAAACATTTACCTAAAAATTACATACCTTAGATGTCAGTCAGAAATTATCACATAGTAATGTTATCTTTACAGAATTGAGCAAATCAGCTGTCATTATTTTTTTATTTTTTTTTTTCTACATTTTTTTTTTTCATTTCATGTAGTTTAAGTCATATTGGCTAGCTAGTATACCACTGTAGTATAATACTATAAAAAAGTGTTTATATGAGTTGGCCTCTATGTAATTTCAAATAGTTATATATATAGCCTTGAAAATATATTGAAATTTCAAAATTACTCTGGTATTGTTTTATTCCATCTAAATTTCATGCTAATTTTCTCTTCATTTTTCTTTTGTGTATTTTCTCTTTCAGTAATTTCTTCTCATTAGTCATATATAACTGTATAAATTTAATCAATAACAGTCAATAAGAATTAATTCATATTGAAAGAAAAATCATACTATATAGGTCTACATGTACTTTTTACAAGGTAGTGTACATGCATTAATTCTTTTACTGGTCATTAGGCAATTATATAATGCCTCTCCTACGGATATTCAGAAATTATATACAGTGTATGTTATAGGATAAATCTGCATGTACCTAGGGGACAAACTTTTGATTCAGAGGGGAGGGAATATGGCATTTTTTTTTTTTTTGGTTAGATTATTTATTTTTATGTCAGTGAAGCTTCATTTACAAGAGGATCATGGACAGCTCTATTATAGATTTCATTCACTGAAAAAAAATTGATGAGCAAAAAAGAAAAATTTTAAAAACAAAAAACAACCAAAAAAGGGGGGTGGAAGGAAATTTGGTTGTCAGGGAAAGACAATTTTTAATAAACCATGTCATATTGCTAAGTGAATCAGACACAGGAGATTTATAATTATGCAGTACATTGTAACAGTCCAGTGGTTGCATAGTTATTGAACCTGATTATTACAGTTGATTAGTTGAAATTAGTTGATTTGTAGGAATGTTGAGGTGAGCTTGTATATGTGCATATATACTTGACATTGCAGGAGTATGTATATGTTATGCTTTCCATGTAGTTGATAGGTGATTATTGACAAGTTTAACTTTAAGTGATTTGTATTTGTTTAGTTGGAATAGTTTGTGCACATGTTTTGAGTTATGTATAGGAATCAGCAAAAAAGTTGTAGTATATTTTAGCTTAAAGTTGCCAGGGACTTTTAATTGGTATTCCGCAGTAGATAATCCATAGCTTTCTGGAAGATTTCTTGTTTTCCTGTAGTTTAACTTGTTTTCAGTTGTCGATTTTCAGGGGTTTATTGTCCAGTTGTAAACTGGTAGAATTCTGAATTGTTTACAAACTTGGTCGCAGATCGAGCCCGATCGTAAAAGTTCGATAGATTAGGGATGTTTGGAGTTAATTGTGTTATTTCATGGACAATGATTAGCGTATTTCCATTTAGGAATGCATTTCATGATAGTTTAAAATCAGAATAATGTTTTGTATGTTGTTAATAGATTTTTCTATGGACTTTGCTACTTACGGGAAATGTCATGAGAAATTCTCCAACATCTTCCGACATTTCCAGTGTTTTCCAACTTGTACATCATGTTTTTAATTTTTTTTTTTTAAAAGAAGAGATTCAAGGAATTTTTGCTCTTCTGCTATGATCATTTATTTAGAGATTCTGGGTTTTTGTGGTAAGAAGTAAGCATAGGTTGGGCGTTTTTGAATTCAGACTTTAAAATATCTAATTTTATCGAAGAAGAGCCAGGGATACTTCCAGCTCATTTTAGGAACTTCTGGAATATTTGTAGAAGTTCTGGTCAGTTTTAATGACATTGCATGTATTAACATTTGCTGTTTGTTAGAATTTTTAGTAAATTGGTGATAAATTTGAAAAT